TTATAGGTATTATCAATCGACAAGATAATATCCATAGATTCAGTGTTTGAAAGGCAAATAATTACACTACTTTCCGAAAGTTCTTGGCAAGAAATTCCACAGAAAAATGTTTTATCTAGCTAGGTATATGTAAAAGCTATGAAGAATTTATCTTCTAAAAGCGACCATCAGGGATTCCTAGATCCCGTCTTTCCAGTCTACAATAGCTATAAACATTCTGACTCTCCTAAAGACTTCCGTGGATGTTAACAATATTTAGCTATTATAGATAAACATACCTGCTCATAGTCAACCAACAAAAGTTATGTTTAAGATGGATAGTGAGAATTTTGAGTCAGTCTATAAAATGAACGTAGTGAGCAGGTCTAATTATCTGCAGACTACTGTTCACTTTGTAGGGGGAATTTAAGGTACTATCAAGACTGCAGTTTGTTTGACGGATTGGGTACCTAACTATGTAGGTTTTGATGTGACTTCATATTCAAAATCGGTGAGTGCATGTTTGATTTTGTCAGTGAAGATAGTTTATTTTTTCCATATAAGTTTACTGCAAAGTATCTGTCTGCACGCCTAAGTGTAACAACAGAAGACAAGGGCCAAGCAACAGATCGTTTTATTATGAAAATCAACACGTATTTATACATCTTTCAACTACATTATTATAGACAAGCGCAGTCATCTGATTGGTTGTTTTTATGTAGACAAACGCAGGCTTCTGATTGGTTGTTTCGGGATTCCTTGACAAATCGAGTTCTCTATCTGCGAATCACATTTTGCCACGTTAACTTTGCTGTGATTGGTTGTTGACTCAGTCTTGTTCATATTTTGCTCACGGCCCATATTAGTGACCTAGACCTTAACGTAGATTAGTGCCAACCAATCGGCTAGCAGCCTGCTCTCACCACACTCGTCCCCCCGTCAAATACGTGCGACTGAAGTCGGCTTTATCTACTTGGTGCAGGCGTCATCGTTGGCTTGTCTCGCTGTATCCATTTCTGGAGCTCGTTGACGTTCACGCGCCTCTCATTGTTCGCCATTGCGACTGTGTCTGCGTAACCCCATCTCGAAGTGACCATATATGGTCCTTCCCACTTTGGAAACTGTTTGCCTGACCCTGTCGAACATTCGTCCATACTTCGGCCCACACCTTCATATGCTGCTTTCGCCCGACCTCCCAGCAGCGTCTCAAGTAGCAGCTCCATCGCTGACAGATCTTGAACGCCACTCAACTGCGCAGAAGCCTTGAAGTCCTGCCCGAAGATCCATATGTCTCCATCAAAAACTGCAGGGTATAGGCTTTTCATTTGTCGGTAGGCAGCGACACCAAATGTAACAACAGAAGACAAGGGCCAGGCAACAGGTCGTTTTATTATGAAAATCAACACGTATTTATACATCTTTCAACTACATTATTATAGACAAGCGCAGTCATCTGATTGGTTGTTTTTATGTAGACAAACGCAGGCTTCTGATTGGTTGTTTCGGGATTCCTTGACAAATCGAGTTCTCTATCTGCGAATCACATTTTGCCACGTTAACTTTGCTGTGATTGGTTGTTGACTCAGTCTTGTTCATATTTTGCTCACGGCCCATATTAGTGACCTAGACCTTAACGTAGATTAGTGCCAACCAATCGGCTAGCAGCCTGCTCTCACCACATAAGTACTAGAAAGTCCCTGTGTGTGGTGGTGCATGGATTTGCAAGTCCTCAGGTACCTGTTGACCTTGTCTCACCAAGGAGACTGTCTAGGTGCTGATGATTGAAGATGTAGAATCTATTCAGCTAGCTGCTCGGGAATCGTTCGAGGGGACTGACTAATCAGATGAGTTTAACGTAAAGCCATAAGCAAATCGAGCCAATGTAGACCCCAAGTCTTCTCTTACGGGTAGTCGAATACTGAGCAGTGTCAATAATAGGTGCTCACTCTGATAAGATTGATCACTTTGTAGAATCATTTCATGAGACCATTCACAACCGGTTAAAGAGCGGAGATGTAGTTCACCCCTCAGAAGTTTGCTATCACGACATTGATTGGTATTGTACTCTCCTGTCGGATGCAACCATAATTTGATACCTAGCTATTCAGGGGAATAAATGCTGTTATCTGCAGATATGTCATTTAGAGGGCAGATGTTTGTCCATCTAATGAATCTTTTTCCGTGAGTAAATGAGTGGGACATCCTAATGCTTGCAAGATATATATATGTTCACATGTGGGAACCTGTGATTTCATGATGGCGTATTTAGGAGCCTTCGAGCCTTGATACTGTAGGGATGGGTGTCCGTTCACCTCTGTCACGTTTGCTGATGAGTCTGACAGAACACACACTGCAGTAAGACAACATAGTTTCAGGTAAAGCTCTCTTTGGCGAATTCTCGGAACGGACGATGCCTGTAGACAAACCCCAGCAGTCGTGCATCAGTTAAGAGAATCGAGATATTCCTGAACTAGAGAAAACTCCTTTCTACTAGTCGGGAATTCTATATCGTTGTGTTGCACTTTTGCTACACAATTAATACTTATATTCGTCGGCGATAAAAACTGATTTATTCCGCTTTGAGTAGGTGAGTCCGTGAAAAAGTCTTCATATTCAATGCACCAGATATCTGTCGAGGCCTGAGAAATATATTTAATCTGGCCCTGTAGTACAGACTTAGCGAAGGTGATTGTAAGGGCCATAGTGAGACGATTAGTTTGAATAGAAAAAATCAAGCGACTCTATCTAAGCTTGAACTACATAGCCAGGAGTGGTTTAACAGCTCAACCATATTTCTGAAGTCTCGACAGATTATCCAGTACACTAAACGAATTTCAAACTTCATCAGTGACTCCCCTTCTCGAAATGAAATAAATCAATCCTTTTCACCAACGGATGTAAGTCTTTATCGCATAGCAAAACCTCAACGCATTGGATGCACAACTCCTGACTAGTAAACAGATGCCTTTTCTACAAATTATCAAACGTAGCCCTCGACACTGTTCAACGATCTTGAGGATCAAAACTCATGTTAAAGACTTAGTCCCCACCACATAAATCGAGTAGCATGCCGCTCAGTGCCAGATTTGTGTTCAAATAAGAAGGACATATCACCAATGATATTCCTAATTGTGGTGGACTGGCTGGATTATGCGTCAGACAGGGATATCCTGGACCGACACGAAGAACCTAGAAGACCTGGATTTCGCGTGTGGATGATTTATGTTTGATGTCACACACAATCGAAGACTTACAGGTGAAAGCCGAAAAACTGGTCTAAGAGGCAGCCAACGAAGACAGGGCTCCAAGTGAACATAGACAAGACGGAGGTTAGGAAAATAACCAACCAACAACAACAACAGCAATCACCATCAACGGGAGGGATTTCAAAGAGGTTACTTTATTCACTCACTTATCTAGCATTGAGCATTGTCTCAACTACAGGAAGTCGGAACGGACGAGGATGTCAAATCGAGCTAGAATCGGGAAGGCGAGAAACACATTCATCAACCTGAAACCAAACCGGAAATCTCCGTCACTCAGCCAGCATCAACAACAAAATTCAGTCGGATTTTCAATACAAACAAAGTCAAGTCAGTCAGTTCTTCTATACGGATTAGAAACTTGACGGGAGGGGGGGTCACAAAGAATATTTTCAACAGGTTGCGTTGCAGACCTTAATCAACCAGCAACTGTCTTCACTGGATCTATACTGAAAATCAGATGGCTGGGCCGGAAAGAATCACCAACAAGAAACTATAGGAACAAACAAACCAATCGCCAACCAACAAATATGCAGGAGAAAGTGGAGATGGATGGATTGGACACTCGCTGAGGAGGCCGCCGGGTGACATCACGCGCGCGTTAGGCCATTACTCGAGTGGAACCAGGCTGAAAGAGAAGCGGCGAGTAGGACGTCAGTGCAAGGGTGATATGGAGGAGTTGAAACAGTATGGACTAACATGGACAATAATAAAATAATAATACATATCAAAACTGTGGGAAAAAATCAGTGCAAATAATACGCATATGTAAACCAAAGTATTCGGAGCCTAAAACAACAACTAGTTTTTGTTCAAAACCTGGATGATGATTATTAAATGTGATACAAAAACAGTTAAATAGTAAAGATTAGATATGTTTTCAAAAGTTGACATTTTCTATTCTGAATAAATTCATTAATAAGAGAAAAAAAGTAAGTGATTTATTCATATATATCTATATCTATATATGTACAATGTATCACGTTAAAACTTTTATTCTATTATTTCAAAAGAGCATGGAAGAGCATAACTTTAAATGTTCACTGTCAACAATCAGTCAGTCAAACAGTCAATCATAGAGCTGGCTAGCTTAATTAACACCAGTACCAAATAATGTCTACACCTGGATAGTGTTGTATTACAAAAGGAATAGAGGTTTTTAGTTAGTTGTACATTGCGTGTGCGAGTGTGTGTGTTAGCGCATATGTGTCTATTGTGATTCGACCAAGAACAAAAACAACAAAAGAAAAATGTTTGTAGGAAATATAAATGACAAAAATTATATATAATGATGAATTCAATCGAATCATATAATATGCGAGAGATAATTAAATATGCACATTTTTGTCTCTGTGTATAAAGATAAAGGGTAAATGAAGAAATCAGAGTGGTAGTAGGAGTAGTGGTCACGTAAACGAATGAATACACACACAATGAATAAACAATCAACATTACCTGTGTCTAAGCGACGTATATTAAAGATAGCGTAAGAAAATAAACTTGGCATCAATAAATAAACAAATATCAACATCATGATAACAATAAACTATAAAAAGTATCTTGTTCAGATTGATTTGTCACAAATAATAATAATAATGATAATGAAGAAAGACATTTATCTGATAAAAAAAACACCAGTACCACCACCAGCCAACAACAGCATGGGATTTAGGGAGCCTCAAGGAAGACGAAGACGACGACGCGTGGGGTGGGGTATCATCACCATCACCACAAAGAAAACGATGGCGCAAAAAAGTATCATGGCTCTAAAATAAAAGACAAAAATACAAAGGTGATATAAGTATAATTCCAAAAGAGACCGGAGATGCTGATGAGTATTAGTATTTTATTTACACTTTAAAGGAATGATGTGAAAACTTGGAAAACAATCAGATCGCATACACACGCACATACTCAAAATATTGGTTAGGTCGCTGATAAAAAGCAGTCTTCTGAACACCTTGGGTTGCAATCTACGATTGGCATGTTTGGCATGCGATTCACTCCCATCAAATGTAAGATGATGTGGCTACAGGACTGGACTACACTGACTCCTAGTTTAGAAATAGGGAGTGAAGTGGTTGGTGGAGCGTGTTGACTGCTTCACTAATTTGGGAAGTACCATCAGCCAACGCCAACGGGTTGATCTCAGTTAATATGAACTGTACAACACTGTGTGATTTATCAAAATAAAATCTTATCCATAATGGAGTTATATTCTACCACAGTGCCCAAGTTTTATACTTATTTCGCATATGCCAGTTTACGCCGTGTCTGGCGTAGACGAGATATCCGACTGGCTATCAACCAAAGGGCGGGTATTCTGCTAATCATTTCGCTCCGTTCTCCTTTATAGTTGTGAGACCGAGCCATTGAGAATGGAAGGTATGAAAAGATTAGCTGTCTTCGATCATAGGTGCCTGTGTTCTATCTCCCGTGTGATGTGGCATAACAAGGTGAGCAATATTGAGGTTAGGCGTCGAGTGCTAGGTAGGTGAGAGGGGAAATCAATCGACGAGGTTGTGAAGTTACATAGACTGAGATGGTTAGGACATGTGTTATGCATGCATCTCTAGCCATCGCCTTCCTCGACAAACGAGAAATGTTAGCTGACATAGGGCCAGGTTGGGAAAGAACCAGCTAGTGGTGGTCAAACCAAAACATGGCACCAGTCAATGAAATTCACAACAGTTAGTTTAAGCCAGTCACGTAGGAAAGTGTAGACACATCCTACCTACCTGTTTGGGGTACTCGGAACGGTAAAAACCAATGAAGGCTGGAAACAATTGGTGATAGGGCTCAAAGTGATCGTTCTCAATGGCTGGCTGGTGCAGATGCATCCACTCCTTGTGACTTATGATTTCCAATGAAACTATATTGTTCTTCGTTATTACTATTCCTTTGTCTCACACCCCTGTTTACTGTCTCTATTATGCATTTCTTCTACTTTCTTCTCTTGCTTTGTGTGCTACATGGAGAGAGTGTGGCGACTTGAACTGGTGCACATCGGTGCAAAGTTCTATGTTAAAAACAGACAGACAGTGCTTATATTTAGCCAGATAAAATGAACCCTTAAATCCCAGACGACGACTGTTCTCCTCCATTAGAACTGAGTGTCCATCAGAAGTGTGTACCTGGTTAGAGTTATCTGAAAGAGCTGAAACAATATAAACTATCCAACTCGTAGCTAGATGTTTAGCTACAATCGATTGACGTTTCGGATTTTGCTGTAGCGATTGGATTGAATTTTGTAGGTTAGGATGCCTAACCCCACGCCCAACCTACCCTTTCTTTTCCCGAGCTTAGGACCGGTAAGAAAACTAACAAACTGGTTAAAACTGGACGAGGAGACCGTCGGGTGAGAGACCACGAGCAAGTCTATCGCGCTAGAGAGTGGAACCCGAGTGGAGCGTCTGAGGGAGATGTAAGCTTATAAGTAGTCGTGGGATCAGATGAACAGAACTGAAAAGATATGCTATTGAAGCCCAATGTTCCACTCGGAACCCAAAGGTGTTGAAATAATAATAACATAGGTGCGTTAGTGTACCTATTCTATCTATCATAAACTGCTTCTCTAGCTTCACAGTCTAACGACTAGATTTCACGGGATCTCATTTTATATCATCTGCAGACTGTTATCCATTAAAAAACAGGTTTAAGCTTACAACATCCTTGAACTCTACTAAATCAATTAAAAAGTTTTAACTAATCGAAACTGTAGCAGAGCCCAAGTAGAGTGACCTGGTAACTACTTAACTGCCTGAAGTAGCGAGCGCTGGCACTGAAGAAATCCGGACACTTAACAGTCAGAGTTGATCCGTCACTTTGAATGTTCAAGCACAACAATAAATCTCACAGGTGAAACCAACTGATCATTTTCAAGTATTGATTTTGTAGGGAGTTTTATTGTTTGATTGGTTGAAGGATTTCATTATGAGGGGGTACAGTAGGTTGAAGGTGAGGCATTACGAAGTGGTAGCGCTATGTCATGAATTCGCAGAAGTCAGAATTCATGAGGGATTGAGTCGGCTCCCAATGGCCTAATGGTCTATGAGCTCACTAGCCTTGTAACCAGCGGAAGGTCTTGGGTTCGAACCCTAGTGGTGGGTGTGTACCAATGAGGAGTCCCAAACTAGTTTCACGAAACGGCTGTCCAATACTCCCCGCTAGTTTTCCAATGGTTCTCTAACTGATATCAGCTCATGATGAAATCCTCTAACCAACCAACTGATAACTGTTTATACATCATCTGATGTTGGGAAAAAAATTCAGTAAAGAGGAGAAACAAATTATACTGACATCCTGCAAATCGAATAAACAAACACATAACTATCCATCTTTTATCATCACAATGAAAGATTGATTATTGTAAAAGTGTATGGAAAAGAAAGTATAGATGAGTAGCCACAGTGGTATTGATTTGAGAACATAAAACAACAGGCTTCAGGAGACAGTTTAAAAAATATAAATTAAAATTACCTAAAATCATCACTTATCTTTGAGAAGTTTGTTAATGTTACATAATAGTGCAATTGGTGACACGGTATCACTTTACCTACCATCAGATTGTGGAATGAACTTGTCTGAATGAGTGACTGACTGACTAAGTTTCAGCGGAGAACTTTGCAGAGATGTGCAGTAGTTCAACTTGTCACACTCCATTTATTACAAGGAATGAATGCATCTGCACGTTTCAAAAATATTTCGAAACATATCACTAATTGCCTCCACAGTCAGTGATGCTTAGAATCCAAAAAGACCCTAACACATTACACCACCTACATAACATGAGAGATAGAACGCAGATATTTATGATGAAAAACACACAGCTAGCCTTTTCAGATCTCGTTTTTCCAACTCACATCATTTACAGGTACAACGTTTTCTCTCTAATTTTTTTTCTCTTTCTGTATTTATTTTTGTTATGTGCTGTTTTGTTGCTCTCTTCCTTACAAACTCTACTTAAGACATTCTTCTTCGTTCTTTCACACTCTGTATATCTCGACCATTTTGCTATCACTTACGCCAGTAAATATGCTAGTAGTATCTACTTTTCTAACACCTTCAAACATTCTGTTTAAATTTTGGCTTTGCTGTCGACATGCTAATATGTTGTTGTCAAAACTGACTGAGATAACTTTAATCTATGTAGAACTTTATTTATTGCTGAAGTACTAACTGGATGGAATATTGTAGTAAAAATGCTGAGAATTCCATTCTGTATCACAAGTACTGATTTGGAATAAAGCTATTATCTTATCTTCCACTTTCAATGGCTTTCAAAGGTCTCACATCCATAGAGAAGGAGGGAGCGAGCAAGTGTGCAGTAGTACACACATCCTTCGATCGATAAAAAGTCGGATACTACACATAATCCTTTTGTATCCATGCTGAGATTTCGTAAGCGTATAGCTTATAAAAGTGGAGGAGAGAAGAACGAATTCATATGACAGAAATGTGCATGAAAATTAATAGTAGCATGGATAATTAACTGCTTTGCTTTCCTATAATGATTGGCTGGCCTTTTTCGCACGATAGCGCCCGTCGAAGCAATGAGTATTTTAGCCAGTGTACTTAAGAGGAATAAATAGTACACAAGCATTAATGGTCTGTGAGACCGTGATTTTTTTTTATTCCTTCACGTTCCCAGTAGAACATAGGTCTCCAAGCTACAGGCTTGAAGTTTCTGTAGCAGTGTTTATTTTTACAGGATGGGGTTGCTAGCCTCATGTCCAACCTTTCCTCTTTACCAGCTTTTACTGCTGGCTTAGCGAGGTTTAGGAGTGCGTCAGCCGGAGATCGAACTCGGGACCATATACATGGTCGGCGAGCGTCCTAACCGCTGTGCCACCGACACTATGAGACGGTGAGCCACACTATTTTTTTTAATGTGTGAGGACTAGTGTGCCACACTACCAAGGTGACCAGGCTGAAGTAGGTGGGAACGGGGTTCGAACTCAGGACCCACTGAATGAAAGCTGAGCTCATAAGCCAAGTACGTCACCCAGTCTTGCATTCTCTAGATAGACAGTCTATGAAGATAGCAGAAATCAACAGTAATCAATATGGATAAATAAAAGTTACTTCAAAGCTTACTTGATTTACGATTACTTTGTGAGTTGTGCCGAAACCAACTACTACTGCGACGTCTGAAAGCTGTTGTTACTGTGTCGAATAAAAATGGTTTTCTGGATAAATCGAATTTATGCAGGATATTTGAATTTCCAGTGGCAGATTCCTTCTACAGAAAAAAACGAAAAGGCTATCCTTGTAGTACCAGAAAAATTTGTTTGTTTGTTTAAAAGTATTATGTAAATATACTCGTATGGTAGTAACTCGTATATCTTTCAACAATTAAAGTCGATAGCTTCAGCACAGGTAGAAGTGTTTATTCCTCAAATCTGCATTTAGTTTACGATGTGGATAAGAAATAACCTCACTGAACAAACTTGTTTAACCTTGAACCAAACGCCAACCAATCAGAACAATTTATTCTCCTCTGACCTAGTCGACTTTTAAAATGTGGTTAAAAACGTCCGAGTTTCTTATCTTCTCCCGTTTAATATATAAGTTAGAAAGAAGAGAACACGAAGTTCAGCAAAGACATCTTTTCGGCGATTTCATTCTCAAAAGCTGTACAATCGCATTTATATAGATTAGTTTACATGGATACAATTATTTATTTTTGATTACAGCTTCATTTCACACCGTATTTTTCTTACAAGTATGGAATTTTCAGCATGGATATCGGTAGCCCAAATTTCGCAGGTCGACCATAGATATCAGGTGTGAGTTGGGAGGGGATCGAACCCCCAGACCATATGCATGGTCGGCGAGAGTCCTAACCAGTGTGCCACCGACGCACATATAAGTAATTCTCCGAAATAAATAGTGAAAAGTCAAAGAAAACATTACCACCTACCTGATTTGGATGAGAAATCGAAGTCTGGAAAGGACACGGAAATTCTCCAGACACCATTGAAGTACAAAGCTGAGAGGGGGGAAGATTTTTCGAACAATCCCTATTATTACATTGTAAACACAAAGGTGAAGTAGTATTGGGCAGTTGATATTCACTATTACTGGGACATACACCTGTTAATAATATGTTGTTTTGTGTACATGTAGGCTGAAAGCGAAGTACAGGTGAAGGATAAATACTTGGTGAAGATGGGAAACCAGAAACAGGAGGGCATGTTAACCGGTTTGGTGGCCAAAAGTAGGCAACCGGAGACATAGAAGAACAATTATGGAACGAGTTAGGGGAAATCATCTCATTTGAAGTTGGTAAAGCTGGTAAGTTGGTCAGTTTTGGATTAAACTGTGAACCTCGTCGGGGAAAAGGAATATCACTGGGAATTTTATCACATGAAAGACTATTTGTTAACAGGTGGGAATGCGATGAATCTGAGCAACAGGTCTGGTTGGAAGTGAATGGAACAGCTAAACCTGAATTCGAAGAAAAACAAGAAGAAATATCAGTAAGGGTTACAATCACAGTATCCTTTAATAAGGTGTGCAACTTTCGGTTTAAAATCATTGGAAACCATATAGACAAAAAAACAAGACCACTTGACTTATTATTATTTCCTTTAATTCCTATAGGAACATAGGGCTTCAGCCAAACGTCTCCATTGCCTTCGGTTTTCTTCCAACTTTTTAACCCCGCTCCAAGTCTGCCCACATGTTTTCATCTCCTCCTCACATGACCTTCTCCAAGTCACCCTTCTCACTGACGACCAACTCGCCACTTCCCTTCCAGGTTCCACCCGATCAATGGCTTGTCTAGTGATGTCACTTGATGGTTTCCTCAGAGTATGGCCAATCCATCTCCATTTCTTCCTGCCTTTTTGTTGCACAATCGGTTCCTGGTTGGTTCGCTCATTGCCAGGGATCCCTGGTGCTGATCTTTTCTGACCATCTGATCTTGAGTATTGAGAGAAGACAGCTGTTGATGAAGTTGTGTAGTTTGTTTGAGATGCTCTTCATGATTCGCCAAGTCTCTGATCCACTAGACTTGCATTCTGCCTATCGTGTGTTTCAATTTTAATTCTCAATTCAGAGAATAGGCTTTTTTCCAACGAATTTATCATTATAAATAACCAAACCGTAGATGTTATGAATTTCCTGGAATGATCTGATCACGGAGTCAGACTGAATCACATTATAAATAAATTTAAAATAATCTAAGCGTGTTTGTTTAAGAAAAGAAATCAAAACACGACTTTCATAATAGACCTTCAGGTGGTTACAAGGCTAGCGAACTCATAGACTATCAGGCCATTGGGATTCGAATCAATGGCCAGTCATCCCATGAATTCTAACTTCTGTCAATTCATGACATCTCGCGTCCCAAAGTAGGATGACGAAACAGCTATCCAGTACTCCCCGCAGGTTTTCCAATGGTTCTCTAACTGATGTTTGTTGCGTAATCTTTGAGTTGCCTACTTCCTAAATCTTACTATTTTTACACAGTAATCTTAGGATTTATACACATAATGAACTATACTATGAAAGTACATGAAAGTAACCTAATCAATTTTGTTTCAATTTTAGCAAACTCAGACACAAATGGTAAACGTTTATACAAAAAAAAAACAAAGTCATGATTGATTACATACATATGAATTTGATTGCTGAGAAGAATCTCATTTTGTCTTTTTTTTTGCCTTAAACTCTTAGTGATGAATTTGTTATTATTACTATTATTATCACGTGTTAAAGAAAGTGACTATTATTACCTGATATCAGTTGGTTCTAGTTAGGCACTTATTATTCACTAACCAGTTTGAAGTGAAATGTCTTCGATTCTTTACAAAATGATGTAATACATTTTAACTGTACATAGTATTAATCCAATATTCTTTGTAAAAAGAAAATGTTAATTTCTGTAATTATCACAGCATTCATCTGAATACTAGGGGCTAATATTTTAAAGTAACGAGTCACAAGCAGGTGATTTCATCAATATTGCTTGCAGACTTATCCAGACAGCCAGCCAGCCATCTACAGTCAACTACAAGCAAGCGGTACACAAATGAAGATATCAAAGCGAAGGCAAGATTGGAAAAGCAAGATAGATCTTCATTATTCTGAAATCAGTGCGAGAATCTGTGTTACTCAGCATTAAAAAAAAAAACAAGATTTGGATTTTCAGCATCAATGTTATGCGTCAGTAAGTTCTTTTATGAGTCAGAAACTTGGAGCCTGGCACTCACGAAAAGCATTTCCAACAGGCTACTCTACAGACTTTATCGACACACCGCTAACTTCTCTGGCTTTATACTGTTGAAGATCAGATTGGGATTGGATAGAAAGAATCAGAGGCAAGAAACAACTGGGAACAAACCAACAAACATACATAAAGAAATGGAGATGGATCGGTCACACGCTAGATAGAGAGAGGCTGTTGAGGAACACATCACACAACAGGATCTCAAGTGGAACCCAACTGCTAAACGACAAGTGTCCGAGAGTGACATGAAGGAGAGAGAGTGTGGGGAGATCAGAGCCTACGAGGCAACCATGGACACAGCTACGAGGACTGTAGAGAAAACGGGTGGAATAGCGATGCATTGTTGACGTCTAATGTTCCACTCGGGTTCCAAGTAAGTAAGTAATAATCAATACAATTAATTAATCAATAGAAGACAGGCATATCCTGGACCGACGTGAAGAACCTAGAAGACCTGGATTTCGCGTGTGGATGATTTATGTTTGATGTCACACAAAATCGAAGACTTACAAGCGAAAACTGACAAACTGGTCGAAGAAGCAGTCAGAGAAGACAGGACTACATGTGAACATAGACAAGACGAAAGTTAGGAAAATAACCAACCAACCAACCAACCAACAACAGCAACAGTCAGTGCCAATCACCATCAACGGGAGGGATTTGAAAGAGGTTACTTCATCCACTCACTTATCCAGGGATGGAGCATTGTCTCAACTACAGGAAGCCGGAACGGACGACGATGTCACATCGAGAGAGAAACACATTCATCAACCTGAAACCAATCTCGAAATCCTCGTCACTCAGTATCAACAACAAATTTCAACAACGGATTTTCAATACAAACTTCAAGTCAGTCAGTTCTTCTATACGGATCAGAAACTCGGCGGGCGGGTCACAAAGAATATTTCCAACAGCCTGTTGCAGACCGGACCTTTATCAACAACTGTGTTCGCTGGATCTATACTGAAGATCAGATGGCCGGGTCGGAAAGAATCACCAACAAGAAACTATGGGAACAAACAAAACACGAACAAACCAATCGCCATTGAACATATATGCAGGAGAAAGTGGTTTGAGATGGATTGGACACTCGCTGAGGAGACCGCTGGGTGACATTACGCGCGAGTCAGGCCATCGCTTGAGTGGAACCAGACCGAAAGGGAAGAGGAGTTGAAACAGTATGGACTAACATGGATGCAGGTGAAAAGTACAGCAGAAGGAAGACAGAAGCGATTGGAGACGTGTAGTTGAAGCCCTATGTTCCACTAGGAATCCAAAGGAACAATAACAATAATAGTTGGTTATTGCAGACAAACAGAAAAACATAAATAATACAATTTTTCGAGTTAATTTGTTTCATGTTTGATCACAGGTTAATATCAATTAAAAGATATCAGCAAGCCGGGAGGTGCTGGAAAGCTGTTTCATCCTAGTTGCAAACTCATAGACAGTACGCAACCACCGGATTCGCTGGTGACACACTGGCTGATGGTTCCACTATACTTACCTCGAAATAGTAGAAGTTGGCAGTCATACGCCAATGAATGGTCTACGAGCTTGCCTGTTAGCTGGAAGGTCCTGGATTTGAGACCTGGCGGTAGCTACTTACCGCCAATTCGTTCCTGACTACGAAGAAACAACTAGCCTGAGGTGCATATTGGTTTTTTCAATGCCTCTCAAACTGATATCAACCCATGATCGAATTTGAAATTAAACCTGTATGAATATCTAGTTTAACAGATTCAAAAGCTAACCAAGACAGTATCCAGTCTACACTTCCCCCTGTACATTGAAAAGACTATGACAGATAAACTGTGATAAAACACAAATTTAACAGAATGACTAAAAATAAAGTTAACGGCTTTGTAACTCACCATCTTGATGATGCATAGTATCACAGAATTTAAAATTATGTATACAACAGGTATGATGACCAGGTTTCAACGTTAAGAAGTCAGTAAGTTTCTCCTCAACTGGATAGTCTGCTGTATCATAATGATCTACACTTGGAACTTTTTCACCCGGCGCAAAAGTTGCTTTCGACGATGAGATTAGCGAAGCAGACGAAGATGAAGAATGATATGGTGGAATTGTGTTATAAACAAAGGCATCATTCACTTCAGCGTAAACAGCTGAATTATTATCTGGCAATATTTGATGATCCGATGTCGTTTGGAGGACAACATTCTGATTTGTACTAGTACTAGTACTGGTACCAGTACACTTTGTCGGCATTTGATCAAAACTCAGCATATCCGAAGAGGATAATACACTTTTTTCATTGGTAATTAACGATGGAGAAGAGGAGTGAGAATCCGTCGAATCAATACGTGGATAAGGTCGTTTAGGTCTGTTAGGCAGTTGTGTACGACGTGATTCTGATCCAAAGACCTATTGATCAAACACAGTAAAACAAAGTGTTCAATTGAATTTAAAACAATTTTAAAACAAGCGCATCTTAATAAGAAACGAATAATTCATTGATTAAAAATGCCCATTAAAATTTTCAAAAGAATGGATACTGGACAAAGAATACTCTTTTCGATAACCTCTTCATCATCAGGCTCTACAGTTATATATACATTATAGTGAATGAATGAATTAGTGCTATGAACAACATTGATGCTGTTTAAACAACACCGAGTCAGTAATATTGATAGATTACAGCTCAATAGCATCAACATAACAAGACAATGAATACCAGACAGAGAAATTAGGTAAGATAATATTAAAAATTCATGAAGGCCGGCCAGCGCAATAGCAGTGGCTAGCTGGACTTGCTTTTTTGAACACACAGCACTGGTTGTTTGAGGCGAATCGCAATAGCCTGTGATGTTTGGAACATGCAGTGCTTCGATGATTTTGAAAATTTATTAGGCACCCGGTAGATGATGACAGAGAAGGATTCTTCCACTCTGGCTGACTTTGTGGTCGGCCAGTCTGCCCCAGATGGTTCAATATCGAACTGTCAGTGGTTTTAACTACACCTTTACTCAGCCATAGTGGGAGATGTTCTCAAACGAGCACGAAAATTCAAGTTTCTAGAGCAGCGGCCAATATAACTCGCTTCACTACAAGTGCAGTTGAATTGGTAGATACAATAAGAAGAAGTGGCTAGTCTAGTCTAGGTACTTCATCTTTCAGTCGAGGTAGCATCATCTGTCGTGTAGAGAACGATACGTGTAGCTCGCCAGCATTAAAAGTTTTTTGAACTGATTTTCTTAATTTCCTCTTAATTATTTCACTTGGTATATTGCCCTTGAATTGCAGTCGTATATTAAGTGGCTTCTTGTGTACAGATAGTGAGCAGTCCTTTTTCGCCTCTTTGTTTGTCATGTGTTTCTTGATAACTTTTTCAGGATAGCTATTTTCGATCAAAGTATCATATACAATGCTTAATTTATCTTCAATTACTTCTTCTGAGCATATAGCTCTAACTAACTCTGTGGCTGAGTTAGGGTCTTCACTAAATTTCTTTTGTACTTGAGAGGAACGAAGTTGTGAAAATGTGTGTATATTGTCCAGTTCATATGCTTTTCCCATGCAAATTTCTTTTTATGCTCCAGTCTGGTTTTTTTGTAATGAGGACATCCAGGAAGACAACTCATTCAGTTTTGAGATTCCTCTTCACATGTGAATTTCAAAGCCGAATGTACTTCATTGAATTCAGCAATTATTGTACTCCTATCTATCCGAATCATTATCACAAAGAATAATGGTGTCATCCATATACCGGCAATAAAATGAATAATTTATTGAAGACGCCTATTATAAAATTTAGAAAAGTCCTGATAAATAAACAAAAAATATTCTTTTCGATAACTTCTTCTCCATTATCCGGTTCTACACTGGTCTGACCATTATAATTAACAGCATTAATGCTGTTTGAAATTGCATTCAGTCAATAGTATGGGTAGATTACATTTTGAAGGCGCCAATAGGAGAGAGAGATAGTATAACGTTAATATACATCACTAACTCAGCTGAATATCAGATAAATTAGGGGAGGTAACAAAGCATTGATGAGAATTTATAGGTTCGATAAAAGGTCAGGACGATGGTAATAGTGCTTGGCTGGACTTGTTTCTTATTACTACTCTCAGGGCTCTGGTTGATTAAAGCGAAATGCAATAGCCTCTTTTGTTTAGATTTATTTGTTTATTTATTTTGTTTGAACACAAAAAACTTGGTACGCTATGGCACCAGGGAGATGCACACCACACATTAATAATAATAATAATAATAATAATAATAAAACAACATATGAGATAAAAAGTACAAGTATGGGTAGAGAACGGATAAAGAACTTTATCTGGAAGAAATAATAATTTACTTTATTCCAAAACAGTACTTGTGATACAGAATGGAATTCTCAGCATTTCACTACAATATTCCATCCAGTAAGTACATTATCAATAAAGAAAATTCTAAATAGATTAAGGAAATCTCAGTTCATTATGACAAAAACTTATTGGCATGTCAGCAAAGCCAAAATTGAACAGAGTGTTTGAAGGTGTTAGAAAAGTAGATACTACTAGCATATTTACTGGCGTAAGCGGTAACAAAAAGGTCGAGATATACAGAGTGTGAAAGAACGAAGAAGAATGTTTTAAGTAGAGTTTGTAAGGAAGAGAGAAACAAAACAGCACATAACAAAAAAGGAGAAAAGTTAAAGAAAGAAAGAAAACGTTGTGCCTATAAATGATATGAGTTGGAAGGACGAGATCCAGTTGTTCTACTGATTGTTTAATAAGTTATAGGTTTCACGCCTAATGCTTTCTTTATCACACAGAACACGAGCTAAGTAGGGTATTGTTGAGTTTTTGTACTTGCTATATAGGCTTCTGGTTCTGTCTGATGAGATACAAGGGGAGAGTTGTGAATGAAGAGGGTGGTGTGAGTTAGATAAAATGGATTTAGCCCATTTTTCACATGAGTCCAAGTTCCTGTCGACCAGAATATTAACAAGCTGGTTAAGTGGCACGTTGCTTACCCTACTGACAACCTTTAACACCCTACGTAATAAGATATAGACCTTCTACAGCAGCCCTGGAAAAACTAAGAGGAAACAATATAGAATAATAGGCAGAATGCGAGAGTTAACGAATCGCAGGATTTAGCGTTGGGTTATTCCAGAATGTTTCAATTTCTTGATGTAGAAGGTAAGACGGAATATTTTCTTAGAAATCATCAATATATGAGACGACCAGGAAAGATCAGCAGATAGAATGACGCCAAGATATTTAATTTCCGACTTGCCATCTATGTTGCACACCTCGTGAGTGCTAACTAGTTTGTTGAGGAAAGCAATCATATTTAACAAGTTCCAAAAAATTCGTAAATTATTATCGGAAAAGGCATAGAAAAGGAAATTGCAACACGCTCGCCATTGATTGCGATTCTTGTCCATATTTGAACCACCACTGCAACCAGGGAGTTGTGACGCACCAACCGAAGCTAAACTAACACAAATATCCCTTATCACAAGACGCCATATCGTGGGCTGACTACATCTCCACTATTTTCATCGAGTCCCAGGGCTAATGAACAGAGACCAGTACGGAAGTCTCTGGAATGACATTAGTAGTTCATTTCCAAGCCACCGAAATTTTCACATGACGACACTCAACGAATGGTGATCACCACTGTATCCAAACACACGGTGCCTAACCTTAGAACTACTCACGCAAGCAACTATACGGACACAACGATGACTGAATACACAGCGTTGCCACACATCCTCAGCTCGAAGAGGACAGGTTTCACAGGTATAGAGCTAAACTGGGTGCACCGAAGCATTGTCAACTTTACCTTTGACAGCCACGCTAACGTCGCCACGGCACCAGAGGTGGATCACATTGGCGTATGCTACCCTAGCTTTCATGATACGGTTAGAAATGTCATAAACCACGCCTCCATCAGCACTCACAACTACCTAGACACACGAATTTATCAACAACTTCAAGCAGTTCAATTGTAAGGGTAAGGTGCAGGTACAGGCTTCTGTCAATCTTGTAACAGTAAACAGACGGTGCAAAACACATACCACACTCACGGACATTGATCGCCAACTGATTGATTAAGTGCTACTGGATTATTAGGTATCTAGAGGCCTTTAGAAATTTATTCAATACACAACCTGATAGATGAATGAAAAAAACTCTTCACATGCTAGGCTAGACTTTGTAGCCTATTTAGACGAGGTCATCTAATCATAAAGGAACTGGTGATGCTTTTAACAACACCATTTTTATGTAGCCACACTGATTAGTAGGTGTGGTGTTGTTCCCGAGTAGGAAAAATTAAGTTGCTAAAGCAACGGCTAGTATAACTTGTTTCCCAGAAGAGCAGTGTAATTATCAGACATACAATTAGAGGTGACTAGCCTACTTACTTCGTCTTTCAGTTTCCCAATCACATTCGACTGACTGAGTACGGAGACTAAAAGCTTCAGCTTAATGGCATTTAACATTCTTTCAATCGATTTTTTCAACTTGTTGGTTATTATTTCGCATATACATATGAACACAGAGGCATCTTGTTAACAGATAGAGAAGAACTCTTTTCTTTTCTCTCTCTTTCTCTCGCTTGGCCTCTAATGACAATATATATTTCTTTCATTAATATAGCGTCATATAAGTGTAGTACCTGATGAGGAAGAGGTTATCGAAAAGAAGAATATTCTTTCTTTTCACTGAATCAGTCTTTTTTAAAAAAAGAAATGGATACGATGAAGAAAGACAAGGCGAAATTGAATAGCACTCACAATCATAATTATTACTTTTGTCTACTGGTGAAACAATGAGTTAAACAACAGTAACATTGACAACACAATAATAATAACAACAACAAGAACGGCCTTCGACTTTATAATCACGAAATCCGCATAATTATCTACTCTAAATGTGAACAGTTACTGAGAAAAATATATACACTAGAGAAATCAACTTCAAGATAGCTAAAAATAATTAAAAAGATTTAGAATGTTATCACTAAAAGATACACAGACTGACTGATTTCGACATTATGGAACTTGGCAACAATTCGAGGCGCGGTAATTCATGTAGCATAATACAAAGGAAGACAAAGAACAGCAAAATGAGATACAAAAGAAGATAACAGGCAGAAATGTCAAGGTGAAAGAACAACACCATGGGAAAACAATAGTTTTTTTTAATGTAGGATAAAAAATAGAGAGTGAATGAATCTGTGCCATTGAAGATTATTTTAATCCTTATCACTACCAATTGTCCCCACTACGCGATTCAAACTAGCCACTAAAGATTTCGTGGTATGACTCCATTTTGTTATTTTGGCCATGATCAACTCCTTTACAACCATAACTCTCCGTCACCTAACACTTCCAGTCGAGGAAGACGATGGCTGGAAATGCATGCGTAACCCATGTCCTAACCATCTCAAACGATGTAACTTCACAACCTCGTCGATTGACTTTCCCTCCTTATCCAACACTCGATGTATATTCACAAGAAAATGCATGAAAACGCACTAATCAGGTGATTTTTCTCTGACACTGCTTAAAATTACGTCCTAGTTATATCGAGGAGTATGAGTTGCTAAGTTAAACTAGTTTCTGTACATGTTGTATTCACCGAGATGACTACAGATAAACTGCGTTTTGTGAATCGTTTATCTCTCTCATCAATCCTGCTTGCAGTCTTCCACAAAAGCCCTCGGTTGGTTTCCAGCAAAAGGAGAGACGACTGATTAGCAGGAGAACGTGGATAATAAAACAAATTAAAATAAATGACATCAACTATAAATCTATCCCTAATCGTAACCATAAGCTAAATCCTGACCCTAACACTAACCTTAATCCTTACCCTAATCATAACCCTTATTCAAACCGTAATTCTAACCCCAACACTTAACTTAACCCTAACTCTTACGAGCTATTAAGGCATTGTCCAAACAGTACTTAAAAACATGATCTGGGTGATATTTACTCCTAAGTTGATGAATAGCGTTGATATTTCAGCTGTGATAATGACAGATGCCGTTAGCCAAAGATTAGCATGCGTTCAAGGTCATTGAAGTGGTCACACTCCTGGGACGCTATTGTTAAACTTCGCCAATCAGAGCTCTAAACTCACAGGACATTTGACAAATACCTTAAAACTTTACCTATTGATGGTTAACTAGTATGTGTTGAGTTAAATTTATTGCTTGTAAGACGATACATTTAAGCTGCTTTTCCGTGTTGTAGATAATTCTCCCTCAATCAGATGTTTCCATCAGTTTGTTCCACAGTAAAGGGCGACGTGTTAGAAATATTCTGTGATATTTTGAGATACTAAGTAAATGACTAATGCAATCTTATATATATGCTCCATCCACTCACTGGACTCTAAGGGGCGAATCTTTGCAGATAACAAAAATGAAATGTTCTACACAAATAAATAAATAAATAAACAAATACTTACATCTGATTGCGTAACTTTAGGCAGTTCAGTATAGTATTCTTCTACAGAAGAGTTCATACCAGAGAGTAAACCAGAAGTGGACCGTGACTGTGGACAAGTTAAACTGAAATCTCCAATTTGAGGTAGTGAAGAAGACTTCAAGTTACTTTGACAAGTGTCTTCATTACAAAGTACAGGTTTTACAGGACAACATTCCATGGAATTAAGCTTTGAATGAAAGCAAAATAAAGAAACTATTACTTACTAAGCATATGTAAAGTTAGGAAATACTTGGAAATGTTCTGGCTCTGAAACATGCAGCCAAAAAAAAACTCTTTCACAATAGATGAACGACTGACTGACTGGCTAGTAATGAAGCCTAGTATACAATATGGCGTGGGAAAAAATCCTCCGGACTGAATATATATATTCGATAGATATACTTTTTTCGAGAAACACTACACTTGACCGGTAGAAAATCACTGACTGACTGACTAGTTTCAACTTAGAACTTTGCACAGATGTACACCAGTTCTAGTTGCCACAATCCTTGCATGTAGTACACAAAATAAAGGAAGCGAGTAAGGAGAGATTCGAAAGAGAGATAAACAGTAATATGAGGCACAAAGAAGAACAGGAACATGGAATGACATTAGAGTTTTATTGGATATAATAAATCACAAAGAGTGAATGCATCTGAGACATTGAGAACGACTTTGAGTCAAATCACCGATTGTCCCCAGTCATTGGTTTTTAGCATCCTGCGGAACCAACCAGTCAGGAAGCCTACACCCCTCTCTACGTGGCTGCCTTAAACTAACTGTTGTGGATTTCATTGACTGATGAAGCCATATATTGGTTTGACCACAACTAGCTCTTCTTTAATCCAACCCTATGTCGGCTGACGTTCCCCGTCGATAAACGTGATGTCTAGGCAGGCATGCAATAACACATGTTTTGGTCAAAAGTCTGCCTGGTTCTTTTGTGTTTGTTCCTCCCGAGTACCGCCTAGACGACGTATGATTATTGAGCCTGAAACTTTAGATATCATATTGGTTAAGCCAATCACCTGTGATTATCACAGAAAGACTCTTGTATATCGGGATAATCAATAACTTATACCAACCCGACGGGACTACCACTGATTCCCAGACGCTATCTCCGCCATCCTTAAACATCACCTCTGGAGTCTTTCGATCGGCTCCCTCAGCTTTGCTTCGTTTCAGACTAGTGACAGCCTTAGTAACCTGGGTTAGTTAGGGAGGACCTGTGTCTATATCCCATACAGGGAGGTGTTGGATGTTCGGTAAGTTGAGCGCGGCTCTAGGCCAATTAAACTGCTCCTCAATTTGCTCATTAAGGATAAGATTTTATTTTGATAAGTCACATAGTGTTAAGCAGTTATATTAACTGATGACGTTTTGAGAACAAATTATTGCTCATAATCATATCAAGTTACTCAGACAACTTTTTCCTTCATTTATATGCATGTGTGGAATGGACTATATATCTAGTCAATTCCATGTCGTGAATTGGCAGAAGTTAGAATACAAGGACCATTGGAATCGGATCCCAGGGGCTCAATGGTCTACGAGCTCGCTGGCCTTGTAACCGCTGGAAGGTCTTGGGTTCAAACTCCGGTGGGTGCTGCTGAAGAGTCCTAAACTAGGACGAAACAGCTGTCCAGTACTCCCAGGTTTTCCAGTGGTTCTCTAACTAATGTCAGCTCATGATGAAATCCTGCATGCAATGAAACAAAAAAATCTCTACAAACCAATGCTTGAAAATAAAAAGACATCAACCAATACTGCAGACTAGATCTGTCTTGTTTCATCAAAATTCATCAAGTGAACTGCATAAATATTTGAAGAAGAAGACGAAAAAACATTGATGTCAACTTACTCCATTTTCTTGAGAACTGTTCCCATGGTTATTAGAATTGTTACGATAAAACGAGTTACCAAACTTAACAGTCGAGGGATCTGGTATACTATTTCCCAAAGGTTTTTTTACAGTCTGAACACGAAACGCACTATTTGGACTAAGCGGTAGCCAGGGCAGTGTAACTATATCATTGTTGTTTGATGGAGAGGCGACGACGACTGTATTACTTGTTGAGCTTATAATTCGTGAATCGGATATAGAATGCGTGTGACTACCGTGGCTTTGACATTGACTTAGTGAACATTTAAGCGTGAGCATACTTGAAAGATGATTTTCAGTGTTTGTTGCTGTTGTCGTTGAGCAAACTGACTGAGCTAAATTTCTGCTTGATGCTGAAGACGTTGATAACCAACTATTGAATTTCCCTTGAAATATGCGGCTGTAGAGTTCTGGGGAAATAAATTTCAAAAAAAATAATAATAATAAATAAACAAAATTTTATATGAAGAATAAACTATCAAAATAAAAAAAATGATGAAAAGTGGAGTAGAAATAATGAGACATAATGAATAGTTGATATGCACAAATGCATGTGGTTAAGGTGTACAAAGACTTAGGGCTTAGATCTACAGCGAACTGTATGTTGGAAGCATTCATTTATACCGGCTGGATGGAAATACTTCTTTAGAAAACAGAAAGATTGAGCGAAAAAATATTTACTCTTCAATTAGATCCTCATCTCTGGCTCTACTCCAATATATATAGCATTTTTATTACAATACACAACAGTTTACCAATCAGGTAGTGGCACTAATATGTTTGTTAACAATAATTAGTCAATGTCAAAATGTCAATGGGTTGATGGTTAACGAAGAAAATCAATACACACAATTAAAAGGTAGGAATGGTTAGAATAAATTAATTTTACAAGGATAACACGTAATTAAAGATGAAGTGGTCAGAAAAGATTTGGACAATTATAATTTTTATAATTTTAGAGGTTTACGGGGAGGGGGGAGAAGTAGTCCGGTTTATACAATCATGTAACGATGGCCAAGGTAAGGAAAGTGGCTGTACAGATTTCTTCTGAACACACAGGTTTGACTTGTTCTTCAGGTGGATTCCTATTGCTTCAGCTGTAGGTATGTAGAAGACGAACTCGTAGAGCAAAATTAAGATTAGTAGGAATGAGATAGATAATTTTAAATGCAGTATTGACGTCAACCTTATGCTCACTATCTACAAGGTGTGCTACAATAGAGCTACGAATACATCTTGTTTGTTCCTTGCTTAACCATGTTGGATGATGTTCGGAATTACGATGATGAACCTGCTTAATTGTACGCTCAATATAGCTGGCTCCGCAGCTGCAGTCAAACTGGTAGATACACACAGAAGAGGCAAATTGAGTTATTTTATCCTTATTTCTCGAACGTAGAATAGGGGTGGTTGTGAAGAGACAACGTACATCTGCTGTGTGATAAGCTCTTTTTACTGCATTCTTCAGGCGCTGCGTTATTATTTCGCTGATGTTGTCACAGTGGAACTGCAGTTTTATGAACATTGGTTTTTTAAGAACTGTTGCTGAATTCATATTTTTGTTATTGTTAACAAACATATCGCCATTTGATTGGTAAACTGTTGTGTATTGTAATAAAAATGCTATACGTGTATATTAGAGTACAGCCAGAGATGAGTAAACATTTCTTCGTTCAATCTTTGCGTTTTCCAAAGGTCTAAATGGGGATTTTTTCTGTATTGGTTATTACTCATAACTTCATTGCATTATATTTCATGCGTTGTCAGCGTCAGGTAGTAGTGGATAATAAAACCTCATCAATATTTTTTTAGTCTTCTAATTACATGCACAGACATCGTCGAAGCATCTGCAACAAGGAGCTGACATGTCAATCTGAAACCGAGCACTTCGGTGTTATCAATCGACGGGAAAATCTAAACTTTGAATTAAATAATCTTGCTTATTTCTTAAATGACCAGTTGTTGAATCTCCTAATGGTTTTCAAACATATTCTCAAGTTGCCATTCATATTTCCTGTCAGTTCGGTATTTTCGCTTGCCATTTTAACCCTTTCAGTGAGTGAATTTAAATTTAGAACCACCCCAAAGGGATTGATTGCTGAGAAAATGTTAGCTCGGATACAGAAGGCTCGTGAGACACTTCCCAATTGATGGCCACCTCTGGTGTAGAGACGTGATATCCAGCTGGTTATCGATCAAACGAAATGTGTACTGCACACCAGTTTGCTTCATCCTTTCTTTACAACTGTGAGACATCGCCGTTGAAATTGGAAAACGTGCAAGGGCTAGCTGTATTTGATCATAGGTGTCTGTGTTCTATCTCCCGTTTTAGGTGGTATAATTGGATGAGTAATGTTGAGGTTAGGCGTCGAGTGTAAGGTAAGGTGGGAAAGTCAATCGATGAGGCTGTGAAGTTACATCAATTCAGATGATTCCGCATGTATAGGTATCACCTTCCTCGATGAGTAGTGTTAGGTGACATAGGATCGGTTAGGTTGGAGAAAAGTTAGTGGTGGGCAAACGAAAACATGGAATATGTTAATCAGATCCATAACAGTTGGTTTAGACCAGTCACTTAGGGAGGTATAAAATGACTGGTTGGGGTACTCAGGATGTTAAGAACCGGTAACTGGAGACAATTAGTGATTTAGCTCGAAGTCATTCTTAATGGCGGAGATGCATTCACCATTCATATCCGATAAAAAAACTCATGTGTTTTCCCCCACATTTCTGTTTAGCATCTTTCTTATGAATCTTTCTTTTTGTCTTGATTTGAGTAGTACATGGAGTTTAACAACTCGAAGTGCTGTACTTCGGTGTTGAAAAACAAGTCAGTCACAAATTCTAATTGACTACTATCAAATATATTAAGCCCACTCATTATTGATTATTATAAAAATTTTGGATTTCCCAATTAATTAACAAACAAAACGATTTCCTAAATTAGTTTGTTTATTAGACATATCACAAAGTGAGCCAAACAGTATTATTTACTGGATAACAAGGTTTCGAACAAAATTTATTGCGGTTCATAATCATATCAATGATAATCACACGACTTCAAAACTTGAGGTTTGTAATTTTCTTTGTTTTTTCCTATTTTTCGTAACGTAGAATTTTCCAGATGTCCAGGTGGACAAGTGTAGAGTCATTTTTATCATACACGTGTCTGCAGTTGATTCGATAAACAAAGCTTCTGTTATTAATCTCTCCCTTCACCCTGCCGTCATCATATTAGACTTTAAAACTGTCATCTTATCCCACTCGTCCTATTGTATGGATGTGTGTAATTGCTTGTAGTGAGTGGTATAGCTGAACTATTCTCTAGATTTTGCCAGGTTTTATGTCTGGCTAGTCTGACTACCCCTGTCCTACTAGTTTGACCTATGTATTTCACCTGACAACCACTCCAACAGGGTATTTTGAGTTTACGGGTTTGAATACCAACCACTTTTATTCCTGCCTTGTTAAGAATTCTGCGTAAGGTTTCCGAGGTTCCCTCCTTGTATGGAATTACTACTGATGATTTCGACTTCTTATTGTTGGTGTTATCTTGCGCATGTTTGACATGCATGTCATCATTATTATTATTATCACTATCCCTACTATCACTATTTATTTTATTTTTACATTTCCCTACATATTTATTGACTAATTTATCAGGGTAATTATTAAGTTTCAAGGCTTCTTTTATGTGTATCACTTCCTGTCTTAGATTTTCCTTGGTAGTACTTAGTTTTTGTACTCCATTACTTAAACATTTCACCAATCCTATTTTACTGACATAGGATGGGATGATCGGAAGTCCAAATATCTGTTTGATAGTGTGGCTTTCCTGTAGACACTAGTGTTTAACTCCCCATCTTCTTTCCTTTTTACGCTACAATCTAACACTGGAAGTTCCCCTTCCAGACTTTTCAATTCATCAGTAAATTGAATGGCCTCCACCTTTCAGTTAGTGTGTTCGAAAAATCTATCTATATCCTGTGTTCTAAGTACTGTGAATGTGTCATCTACATACCTCCACCATACTTTTGGGGTGAGGGTGAACGTCTCAATCTCTATGTTTTCCCACCTATCCATGAATATATTTGACAATATTGGGGATATTGGCGACCCCCATGCCAACTACCTCAGTTTGTTTGCATATTTTCCCTTGGAATAGGAATGATTCAACACCTGTCCCAGATATCTGGAAAATTCTACTACCCCAACGACGACAAGTAGGAGAGAACAAAGAAAACTATAAAACTCAAGTTTCAAAGTCGTGTGATTATAACTGATTGGTGTGATTATGAACAATATATTGTGTTCGAAACGTCATCCAGTGAATAATACTGTTTCACTGACTATGTGATACATCTAGTAAACAAACTAATACGGAATTACTTACTACCACGGTGCCCAAGTTTTACACATATATTAAAACGATATTCTTGTTTTCATTGATGTTTTGCTATTTAATTTAATCTTAGCTTATGTGTAACAATTTAATCATCGTTCATCAACATGGGGTAATTTTTACGCTATCAAATTGGCCAATTGGTACAGATAACAAAATCAAGTTGACATTGTTGGATTTGATAAGTGCATAAAAATTATAAAAGCAGCAAGTATCTACATAATGAGATTGTTTATCACATTCGTGTTGAATTTGTCATTTCATGGGTGTGGCGGGTAGGGTGCGGTTTTGCAACCAGGTTAAATTCTGCCTTAGTCTAGCATTCCTTTTCAGACAGTTTTGGTTACGTTTGACGTGAAGCGCTTCTGATGATATATTACGTTCTTTGTGATTTCTGAAATGCTTTTTCTGGATTATTTCAATATTGTCAAAATCAATTTTGTAACTTGATTCCATAGTGTGGACGACCTAAGGCTGATGATTTTTCTAGTCCAACTGGATTACTCGATGGTCGAACAGATGCTCTACAATGTTCATTTCTTCTGATTTTGATTTCTCACGATGTTCGTCCGACGCATCATATTCCAAGCATTTTATTTTATAGACATAATTAGACAAAGAATACTTAGGGATTTTTTTAAGTTCTGGTTCAATAATATTTTGGTAAAGGTATTATTATTATTTCCTTTAATTTCCAGAAGAACATAGGGCTTCAGCCGAGTGTCTCCATGGCGTTCGGTTCTCCACTAACGTTTTCACCCCACTCCAAGTCTGCTCACATGCTTTCATCTCCTCTTCACATGACCTCCTCAAAGTCACCTTCGCCGCTTCCCTTTCGGCTTCCACCCGAGTAAGGGCTTATCTAGTGATGTCACTCACTTGATGGTTGCCTTAGAGTATGGCCACCAATCCATCTCCATTTCTTCCTGCTTATTTGTAAAGGTATTAGCAGCATTAAATGGTGAAAGGTCGGTAAAAACAAGAATATTGTTTTGTTTATCATTTATTCACTGGGAAATACAAAATCTTTTTATGAATAATGAATATCATATACCCAATGTCCAAATTTTTGTTCAAACCGACTCAAAGTAGTTTCGAGAAAGGGAGGGAAGGAGAGAGAGAGAGAGAAACGATTCTCCTAATTTTACACTATGCATAGTTGTATTGATTATTCAGGCGAAAAGGGAGATATGAACTGCACTTTTAACACATTATCAAAGTTGAAAAGCCACAAACTGGCAACTTTAGTAATCCTTTATTTACGAGGAAGTTAAACGGATATAAAGAAATCGAATTGGTGGATGGTGACTAGCAGTGGAATCCAGGATGCGTATTTCTTCCTATTTGGGACTCGTTAGCTGGATGTACCCGCATTTCCTAGTGAGTGATGATGTTCCCACCGAGGATATACAGAAAATCGATCGAAAAACATCAAAGTATCCAGAGGAAAATTTAGTAACTAAGAGATGTACGAGGAAGTAATTATTAAAGATAAAGAAAAACCAAACTCACTAGTTTTTTCATCATCCATTGGAGATAATGACAAAAAACTCAAAGTTGGCTTTCTTTTATTTCGTATAGGATGAACATTTTCACACAGCATAGGACAAACAGGAGTATATAATCGATCCTTTTGAACCACCTGTGATGTGTTGGTTGGTGATGATGATGATGACGACGATGATAACGCAAACTCAGGATTAGATTTAGTGATCTGAACCTCTGCTGGACAGCTATCCGAAAACGGTGGTAAAAGAACAGGATATTCATACATCTGAGCTAAGCGTTGGATGCAGTTTAACCCGTGACAAATTTCTTCAGCTTCTATTATGGCAGTTTGCTGAGAAGAACGAGAATGGTAGGCAACGAGTAATATCAGAGAGAAAATATCACAACCACCATGATGATGTTGATCGGATTCAAATGAAGAGAACAACTTTGTCAGTGAATTTTCCAAGTGAATGGCAATTTCAGACCAAGAAGAGGATGCATAGTGAATGAATAGAGCACGCGCTGCATATGTTGAAGGAATAGAAGGTTGGCATACAAATGAATCTATCACCTGAATAATAAGAATTATGAATAAACTATTAGTATGATGATATTATAGGTTTTAATGTTATGTTATGAGGAAGCAAAACATTTGTTTTATTCTTGCTTACATATTGCAAATAAAAGTTATCAACACGATATAAACAAAAGGTTAAGCAGAAAGGAGGGCGGCAGGGGGCTGAACAAGTAATGCATTCGTCGTTACAAACCAAACAGTGGGGGTTAGACAAGGTGGTCCAATCTCTACATTTGTCTTTAACTTTGCCATCGATGACATTCTGAAGTCAACTTTGAAGGATGCGCGTGAAGGTGGTTTAGATTTGCTTCCTGGAGAAAGACTTTTTAACCTAGAGTATGCAGACGATATCGTCTCATTGTACGATATCATGCAGGTTGCCCACATTCCACTTAATCAGTTGGCCATCAGTGTCTGTAAGTATGGTATGTACTTTGCGCTATCTAAGTGCGAAGTACTGTTGCAAGATTGGCAGGAGCCTGTATCTGCTTGAATCTGTTGATAAGTTTGTGTATCTGGGTAGTTGTGTGAGTGCTGGCGGAGGAGTGGCATACATCAACTTGAGCCACCTATGGCACCGTCGCGATGTTAGCCTGGCTGTCAAAGGTCGGGTATACAATGCTTCGATGCAGGCTGTCTTCCTCTACGCCTGTGAAACCTGGCCTCTCCGAGCTGAGGATGTGCGGCGGAGACTCTGTGTGTTCGATCATCGCTATCTCCACAGGATTGCTTGCGTTCGATGGATGGCATCATCGCGTGAGTAATTCTGAGGTTCAGCGGCGTGCGTTTGAATACAGTGGAGATCACCGTTCCTTGAGTGTCGTCATCTGTAAATACCGGCTCTAGTGGCTTGGACATGTGCTGCAAATGTCATCCCAGAGGCTTCCGTACAGGTCTCTGTTCGCTGGCCAGCCCTGGAACGGGATGGAAAAGGCGGAGAGGTGGTCAGTTCATGTCCATGACGTGGCGTCGTGGGATGAAGGATTTTTGTGCGAGATTAGCATCGGTTGGTGTGTCACGACTCCCTAGTTGGGGTCCAAGAGGTAGCTCAAATCGATGGCTCGAAACGTTATCGGATATGGCCAAGAATCGTAATCAATGGCGAACGTGTTGCAATTTCTTTCCTTCTTCCCTTCCCGATGAAGTTCTTTATCCGTTCTCTACTTATATTTCTTTTTTTACTTTTGATCTTCGTTGTTTTATTATTATTGTGTGGCGCATTTTTCTTGGTGCCATATTGGACCAAGTTTTTTTTTCTGCGTGTAAATAATACAAACCAAAATCAGTTAGGGAGATCATTGAAAAGCAGCTGGGAGAACTGGACAGCTGTTTCATCCGATTTTGAACTCCTTGTCAGTGCAAAAACCCACGACCCCGATCCACCAGGGGTTGAATGCGGAACCTTCACGTTAAAAAATCAAGCACGTTGACTGACCGTTAATTTAGTCATTTGGGCTGGAATTCAGTGACCTATAAAATTCCAGCTTCGTCACTTCGTGATATACTGCTGTTCTAAGCAATGTCTTTGGTGAGCGCATCCACTTCATCTTGACGCGGTAGAATCCAGTGGTCACGACTTTCAACTGCAGCTTTAGGATATATTCATCCATTAGCAGTCATCAGTGGGCTGGTGGTTGTTGATATTCAGAATATAGGATTTGTAGGAATTTTGGATTCATTCCAATTGTTAGATTTCCCCTCCTTCCACGAACCAACATCAGTTGGAGAAGTCACTGGAAGATCCCCACAAATCCGATAATCTGAATATTCCTGTTAGACGAAAAAGTTGGAAAAAAATTGTCAAGCCCTCCGAATTTCCTAAGCCAACGACTGGAGATGTTTATTTTACATGTCAAATGTAAGGATAATGGAGAGTGCAGAGTTTCTGCCTCGCTTATTAGAGAGGTAATATCAATCTTTTTGGATTGTCTAGTAAGATAATACCAGCGCGCATACAAAAGGCTAATCTGGAACATTTGCTTGAATGCATAATAATATTATGCACCGAGAAAAAGCATATGGCTAATAATCAAAGACCCAATGTACTGAAGTCATCAATCATCCCCTTTGTAACCACAGTGAATAATGTAAAGTTAGAAGATTATAATATAATCAAGCGTTGGTTTGTAGGGATTTGATTAGTTAGTTACAGGATTGGTAACAAGCTAATTCATGTTAGAGAATCATAGAAAGACCTGGGAGTACTAAACAACCAGCCGTTCCGCCCTAGTTTGGGTCCATTCAGTAGTATGCAACCCCCGGATTTGGAACCCAAGACCTTCCGGTTACGAAGCAGGGTCGTTGACCATTCGGCCACTGGGATCCGACCCAGTGGTCTATGAATTCCAACTTCTGACAATCCGTGATACATATTTAGAGCAATCACCAGTCAATAGTCGCCCTCTCACCTCGAAACCGAAAGGTCCTGGATTCGAATCCTGGTGGGTGTGTAGTGATGAAGAGTCCTAAACTAGGAAGAAACAGCTGTTCAGTACTCCCCCCAGGCCCTCCAATGGTTCTTTAACTGATGTCGGCTCTTGATCAGTTCTGTAATTATGATTTAGACAGGTGAGTACTGTCTATAGTGAATTGTGTTTTCCGTCTGAATCTTTACTGATTTTCCCATATCAAGTTAATTTTTAGAAATATATTTCATCTAATCTTCAGTAGATAAGGAAGTTAAGACAAACTGTTATCAGTCTCGTGTATTATACCTATTCTTCTATACTGTTCCCTTCCTGGGTTACTTGAGAAAGACTTGTTTGTTACACTGTGAAGGGTACTAAAAGCTACCTTGTCAGTAGGCAGTGTGGTACCGCCAAACCAACTTCTTAATACTGCTGTAGACAGACACCTGAAGTCATGCAAAAATATTAATGAATATTATCTTATCGAACTCTGAGCATTCTCTCTATACACACAACTCTCCCTTTGAGCATTTCATCAGTTAGGAATAGCAGTAACTTACAACCAAATCCCTACAAACCAACACTTGAATACCAATGAGATGCTCACTGGCGACTGGCCCTATTCAGGTAGGTAGTTACCTGGGTTCCAGTGGGAAGTCGTCACCAGTAGGGTGCAGCAGGTTGGGTGTGAGGACAAATAATCGCCGAAGACATTGGCTAGCGGTCGCGCTATGTTGTGAATTGCCAGAAGTTGGAATTCATGGACTGGCCATTGGATCGGGTCCCAGTGGCTTGATGGTATACGAGCTCGCCTTGTAACAAGGCCTAGGGGTCGAATCCCGGTGGATGTGTAGTGCTGAAGAGTCCCAAACTAGGACGAAACAGCTGTCCAGTACTCCCAGCTGGTTTTCCAATGGTTCTCTGACTAATGTCAGCTCATGATGAAATCATGTAACTAACTAAAGAAGACTTTATACTCCGACGACTAAATATAAGAGGATATGGCATGACACTACTAACTCACTGAGAAACATTAAGTGAACGGCCCTCTCTGTTCTTCCACTAATAATATTAACGTTAATATCTTTGTAAGCCACGCTAGCCTTCAGTACACAGTTACAGATTTTGTTCGTCACGCAGCGACCACTCACATAGCTATCTATCTAGATACACGAACTTATCGACAACTTCAAGCGATTCAACTGCAAGGGTAAGTGAAGGTACAGACGGCTCCTGTCAATCTCAAAACAGTACTTTGCAATCAGACGGTGCAAAGCAAATACCATACTTACAGACACTGATGGCCAATTGATTGAGTGCGATGTGATATTGTCTGTACACTCCAGGTCAAAAAGTCTTTCTCCAGGATGCAAATCTACACCACACCACGATGCCCATCCTTCAAAGATGTCTCTAGAATTTCCTCGATAGCAAGGTTAAAGAGAAAAGGCGAGGTCGGGCTACACCATCTAACCTAACATTTGGCTGAGAACAGTGGTGATATCTGGGGCTGTATGTCCTCACTCTACCTAGGGCGTTTCTATTCACGACTTCTCAGGTGCCCCACCAGCTCTCTAACAGATATTGCCAGAGAACAGTTCTATGTCCAACGAATGAATCGAAGGTGGCCTTAATATTAAGAAACACAAGTATTGCTGGCCTACAATAAATGTGGCGGTGTTCCAGAAACTGACGAAGAATGAACACACGATCTGATATAATATAAAGAGCAAAATATTAAGTAATCTGCAATCTACAAGTGAATATTCAACAGGTTGCCCGTTGACTCACCCATTAACAAACAACAAACAATAGGAGAGTTAAAAATGAATTGTGTTCAAAGTTGTAGCTCACTCAAACGTAATAATAATAAATAAAATCAATAGTATTTATTACAATGTAACATTTTTATGCATCGTAAAATGGAAGTATTACACACATAAAAAAACATGTTTTACGATCAAATGATCTTACCTGATCTAACTGCATAAAGTGTGTGTAACACGAGCAGCAATCACCAGGATTCTTACAATGAAAGTGAGGATCACCAGTTGTAATGGTTACATGATTGTTTGCATGTCGGCTAGAATTATCGATACAACTACAGTGTGAAACAACGACTACAGAAGCCAGCACACCAGAGAACTTGAATTTACTGTTTGTAAGTGTTCCATCGCTGAGTAGATCTGATGAACCAATGAATTCTGAGATAATAGAGAGATAGTCAATATTATTATTATTATTCACTAAACATCTCCAGTCAATAAAAGTGGATTCAGTTACTTCTGTGCTAGGTAACGATGAACTGCCACGCTCATCTTGAATCTTTTCGTCTACTAAGCAAAGAAGATTGTTCAAAAATGTTCTGATTGAATCCAAATCAACCACAAAGTAGGGGAATTTGTAACTGAATAGAAAAGGAAACAAAAGGAAGAGATATGACTTAATTATTATATATCTTAAGTGTAAATAACAATAATAATAGTAATGGTAATTATATGTAGGTGACAGCCTGCGAGTCCTCCCGAGCAAGCTGAGGGGTCTCCTGACACCCTTAAAGTGTATTTTGCAGATTCGCCTTGTTGACTGGGCATGCGTGTCTCCGAAACACAACATACATCCATGGCTCGAGATACCAGAGTTCTTGCTAGTGATGCCTGTTGGGTCTTGACGTTAAATTCTCCTTTATGAAGTTAGCTATCTGGGGTGTTTCTATGGCTCTCACCGTTTTTCGTGGTCACAGAGTGAAGTGAAGATGACTCATTAGCCTGCAGAACAGTACTACCTGTAGTAGAGAAGCAAGATGAGGAAGGTGATGTGGGTAAAGGAGGCTACGTGTGCTTTTGGAAATGTGTGAGTGGTTGTTACTTCCCGACTACCCACACCGGGGAAGTTGATTAATTCTTCGAGTATTTGAAACAGAAAGAAGGTTAGTGTTGCGTGACCGCAGAGCCCAGGGGACAACTGTTTGAGGCCGGTCAAACACGGCCTGTATGAACTGGTCTCTGGGATTGGTTCCGTATTAGTAAACTTACCGCCGGTTACAGACAACCGTAAGTGGGGTAAGTCGGGATGTACAATTTTTGGGGTCGACGTTTTCTAACCCCCTCTCTCCGGCGTGGAGAGACAGCATAGCTGGCTGGTGTGGTGGTCATCTGAGGGTAACACCTCACTGCTGTTACACCCCTGTTACCCAGCAGTATGACTTCGCTCTCAGACCCCCAGGATAGTGTAAGAAAGATTCTTACACAATGACGGTAACCGCTTTTAGTCTAACCGCTATCCTAACAACCTTCCTGGCATGGTAGGACCTGCCAGCCAGTGTAGCTTGTTGGGTCATCGAGATGTGCAAGCCCGACCACCACGTCAAGATAGCAACTATCTATCGGGGACTACACAGTAAGTCACGTTCAAGTTTCACGCACAACACTTTGTCTGTCACACAGAACAAGAGTCATAAAGGGTGTCGTTATTTCTATACTCAGTTGTGAGAGCATATAGTCCCTTATGATGACTCCTAATCCTACCTGGTGAAAGGCAGCAAAAGGAGAGTTATGAATAAAGATGGCCCTGACAGTCAGACAATATGGATTTAGACTATTTCTCATATGAGTCAAGGTGTCTATCGACTACAGTAGTAATGAGCGAGCTGACTTAGTGGTGCACCACTTACTCTACTGACAATCCTTAAATACCCTTCAATATACGAAGAAGTAATTTTTGTGTAGCCCAAGAAAGACTAACAGGGAGCAATACAGAACAACAGGTGAGATGCAAAAGTAAACAAGCAGTCAAAAAGTAGAAGTTGAGTGATAACTGATTGTCTTGACTTCTTAATGTAGAAAGGACAGACGAAACATTTACTTAGAAATCAACACGATATGGTATTACCACGAAAAGTCAAAGGAAAAAGCTATTCCAAGGTATTTAATGCTTGATTTAATTTCTATTTCAGTGCCTTCTATGTTACAAACATCATGTGAACGAATCAGTTCGTGTAGATCACGTTTATGCTTGAAGGTGAAGGTGACCGTCTGACATTTGGAAAGACTCAACGTTAGACCATTTAACCTAGACCACCAGTGGATGTGCTAACAAAGACGATGAAATTATAATACTGACTTGAGAATGTAATAGTTTTACAAAATATATTAATTATTGGAATAGAGAAGATTTGTAGCTCAGGTGGATGATTTTGATGTGGCTATGTTCTCTGAACTGGACAGTTAATTTACGAAACCTTCATTGCCCTACTAGGCAACATCTTCAGCGCATAATTCGATTTGTTGAAGTGAGCTTTTAGATTTCTCCACCAGTCTGTCTGTCTGTCTGTCTGTTTTCGACATAGAACTTTGCACAAATGTGCGGAAGTTCAAGTCGCCACACTCCGTGTAGCACGCGAAGCAAGAGAAGAAAGTACAAGAAAAGCATAATAGAAACAGTGAGCAGAGGTGTGAGACAAAGGAGTAATAAAGAAAAACAAAACAGTTTCATTGGAGATCATAAGTCACAAGGAGTGGATGCATCTGCGCCACTGAGAACGATTTTGAGCCATGTCACCAATTGTTTCCAACCATAGATTTTTACCGTCCCGAGGACCCCAGCCTGGAAGTCTACACCTTCCTACGTGGCTTAGACCAACTGTTGTGGATTTCATTGACTGGTGCCAAGTTTTTGTTTGACCGCCGCTAGCTTTTTTCCAGCCTGACCCTATATCCGCTAACATAGCTCGTCGAGGGAGGCGATGGCTTGGCATACGTAACACATGTCCTAACCATCTCAGTCTTTGTAGCTTCACGACTTCGTCGATTGATTTCCCCTGTTTACCTAGAACTCTACGCCTAACCTCAATGTTGCTCACCTTATTATGCCACTTTACACGGGAAATAGAACGCAGGCACCTATGATCAAAGACAGCTAGTCTTTTCATGTCTTCCACTCTCAGTGGCCAGGTCTCACAACCATAAAGGAGGACGGAGCGGACTGATGAGCAGTACACCCGCCCTTTGGTCGATAGTCGAACATCTCGTCTACGCCAGAGTCGGCGTAAACTGGCAAATGCGAAACGAGCCCCTTGTATTCGTGCTGAGATTTCGTCAGAGATCAACCCGTTGGCGTTGGCTGATGGTACTTCCCAAATAAGTGAAGCGGTCAACGTGCTCTACCACTTCACTTCCTATTTTTAAACTAGGCGTCGATGTAGTCCAGTCCTGTAACATCATCTTGCATTTGGCGGGAGCGAATCGCATGCCAAACATTCGTAGATTGCTGCTCAAGGTGTTTAGAAGACTCTGCATTTCGTCAGCGTCTTCGCCTAGAAGGACTATATCGTCTGCATATTCCAAGTCAACGAGATTATTCCCCGGTAGCAAGTCAATCCCTGAGTCGCTGAAGTCACTTAGGGTTAAGTCCATTAACACATCTATGATGAAGTTGAATAGAAAAGGGGATAATGGGCATCCTTGACGGACACCACTGGTCGTCATCAGTTCAGATGACAGCTCGCCGTAAGCCCTCACCTGGCTGTATGAGTACGAGTAGAGTGCCTTAATCAGTGCAATATATTTTCTCGGAATTCCCTTTACAGCCAAGCATCTCCAGAGAACTTCCCGATCGACAGAGTCGAATGCTGCCTTTAGGTCAAGAAATATAATGACTGTTGGACGCCGGTAGGAATGCCTATGTTCTAGAATCTGTCGGAGGGTGAAGATATGATCAATACACCCTCTTCCTGGTCTAAAGCCTGCCTGGCTCTCTCGTGTTTGTGCCTCCCGAGCACCACTCAGTCTACGCATGATTATTGAGCCTAAGACTTTAGATACTATATTAGTCAAGCTAATCCCTCTGTGATTATCACAGGAAGACTTGTCTCCCTTCTTGTATATGGGGATAATCAGTGACTTACACCAACCCGATGGGACTTCTTCTGATTCCCAGACGCTGCCTAGTACCTCAGTTAATCCAGACAGTAAGCTGTCTCCACCGTACTTAAATACCTCTGGAGTCATTCCATCAGGTCCCGCTGCTTTGCCTAGTTTCAGATTGGTGACAGCTTTAGTAACCTCAGTTAGGGACGGAGGACCTGTGTCTATATCCCATTCAGGGAGGTGTTGGATGCTCGGAAGGTTGAGCGTGGCTGTGGGCAAATTAAACTGCTCCTCATAATGCTCTTTCCAACGATCCAGTCGTCTATCCTGGGAGCTAATTATAGTGCCATTTTTTTCCGAGATTGTCTCACTAATGATTTGTCTTCTCCCACCCGTTTCCCTGATGAGTCCAAAGAGTTGCCTGGTGTTGCCTATCCTCGAAGCTTTCTCCATCTCTTTGGCTTTTGTCACCACCACTGTTCACGGTCCTTGCGGAGACTTTTCGTAAGTTTCCTCTTGTGCAGCTTTCGCTCCTCATTGAATTCGGAGCTCGCCGGAATAAGTCTTCTAGCATCTATCAGTTCGGATGAGGCGGTGGAGATCCAGTGGTTTTTACTCACCTTTGGGTTTACCTTATTCACAGCTTTTACAGCTGTATCTATGGCTGCCTGGATATTTTTCCAAGCTTCTTCAGGGTGAGCACAGCTGTCGAACACAGATATGTGTTTAGCTAGTTCTTCCTGAAATACGGATTTAGTTTCCTGATCGAGCTGGGGACGTGATGGTTTTACCGCCAGCTGTTTCCTACGTCCGTTCAGTCGTAAGCACACCCGAGCGCGGACCAGTGCATGGTCGGTATCTACGCACGTGTTCCAGAAGGAGCGACAATCTCCTACCGACCCACGCCAACGATAGCTTATTGCTATGTGGTCTATTTGTGTCCAGCGTTGGTTTGATGAAGGGGGTCTCCAAGTCAAACAGTGTCTCTCCTTGTGTTTAAAGTTAGTGCTTACAAGAAACAAATGATTATCAGAGCAGAACTGTAGGAGACGGTCACCGTTGTCGGTTCGCTGGCACGGAACTCCATAGGTGCCACCGACATCCTTCTCAGATTGACACAATTTCCCTACTTGAGCGTTAAAGTCACCAGCTAGAACGACTATGTCTGAGCGTTTAGCCTTTCTCACCAAACTAGACAGCTTTTGGTAGAACTCATCCTTCGTTTCATCTGAACTGCAGTCAGTGGGGGCGTAGGCGGAGATTACGAAAAGGCATCGGCGAGTAGTGCAGTCCTTCCTCCTTTTTACTGATCCGTTCAGGCGGACAGCACACATTCGGCTATCTACCGGGATCCAGTCAAGCAATGTCTTTTCTGCCCTAGTACTCAAAGCTATCCCTACGCCAGCTAATCCTCGTGATCCATCGTTTTTAGTGGACGCAGAGTGGAGAGGAAGTGGAGAGCTATCAAGTCGAAGAGTTGCATCAGTGGAAGGAAGGCAAGATGATAGAGATGAAGATGAAAACGAAGATGAGTGAGTAATAGAGAGGTTTCGCGTGCGTTTCGGATTGTGAGTGCGATTGTTACTTTCCAGCTGCCCACACCGTGGAAGTTGGTTGCGTGACCGCAGAGCCCAGGGGACAACTGCTTGAGGCCGGTCACACGCGGCCTGTTTTTGTTCGTTCTTTATTTTTTGGTGTGCCTCAGTAGCATACTTATCACTCCTGCCCTGTGACACGGCAGCAGGAAGCGCGGTCGTTGTTAATCCGGGCCACGGCCGATCCGGCATGAAATTTTGTGATTTTGTATTGGTCATGATGTTGGATTGGGTAGCTGCTTTTTGTTTAACCGCTATCCAAACAACCTGCCTGGCATGGTAGGACCTCAAGAGACATAAGTCTCAGCCAGTATAGCTTGGGTAGATCATTACGGTGTTCAAGCCCGACCACCACGTCAAGGTAGCAGCTTTCAGTCTATGAATCATCTCTCCTGGTGACCTGACCTTGGACGTGATTGGTTGTTTTTGTGTTTTCACACCATCTAGGCTACCTGTATTGGAATTGATTGTTTCTTTGACCCTTTGCGTGTGAGGTTTCTTTCTTATCAGTTGATAAATTTTGTCTACCTCGATGTGTCTATTGATCCATGATTCACTGAAATGCTATGCAGGTTTCTAAAATTTTTTCTAGGATTCTTGGTGTTTCCTCTGTCTAATATTTGAACGTTGTCCCATTCGAATTGATGTCCGTGGTTGTCTGTATGCAGTGAGTGGATGTAATGTCTTTTGACGACTAACTTTTGTTCGTGGATGCGAAGAAGAAGGGGACGACCACTTTGGCCACTACATTGACCAAACAAATATCTTGTAAGTGAACTAACTATACATATCTATAACCTCCCCGCAGTTGTTCTGAATTTTTTATTCTTCTGAAATCAAGAAGACAATTGCATCGAAGAAAATTTTCTTTTCGACGAAGTCATCATCTGAAATCGCGTAAACACAGATACCGGAATTTCTCACGAATCACGTCACAGTTCATCTTAGTTGATAGTTAAGCAAAGGGTTATATTCCTGAACTATAGCGATCCAAGAGAACGGCCGTCATAATGACACCGTCGTCATCAACTAAACAGATGTGGCCATAATAAATACGCGGAAATATGAATGCAGTAAACGAATTTACGTTGCAAATTGGTTTGGATTACTACTACTAGTAGTAAAGATTTCAATAAGGAATTGGGAGGTATTTACTGTGGGTTCATTTGATTGGTTGACGAAGGTCATTCTTACGGCCATTTTCTTGGGTCGCTAAAGTTCAGAGTAACCGGTAAGTCTTCGATGGGTTTGGGAAGGTTTAGGCTAAGGACAAGTTGGGGTTAGGTTAACTGATACGGGAGATATAAAGCTTGGTCCGAGTTACATTTTGGGGTCACTTTAGGGATAGCTTTGTGTTAAGGATGAGGTTAGAAGACCTAGATGAGTAACATGCACTGAATACAGAGGATAGCTACTGTATTGACACTCCAATCCAAAACTGATAGGTATTTTCGTCAGATGTTAGAGAGTGATAACCCGTTCAGCATTTGCATGGTATTTTTATTCATTATTTTCATTCATAAAAATCGTCTTTTTCGTGTGATTGCTGCGTCTCTGGTTGTCCACTGCTTTATTTTAGTGCCTAAAGTTTCCCTTCACCAACGAAACATGTGCGTAGAGATAAATAAAATATGAAAACTATAGATTTTTATCATTTGTAGCATCGTTTGCATTCGATAACAACATTAAGTGGACTGGGAAACGATCAACTCGGCTTCCAATGAGATCGTACATCGAATGCATATCCAGACATGATAGGCGTTTCTACTACATTACAGCAGCAGCATCAGTTAGAAACCTGGTCAGAGACACGCGAGAAGACATCCGACTTTCAACAGCAAGTTAAACAATTAGTTCTCAATTAAGTGAAGGTGGAACAAAAAGGCCATTGTGAAATTACTCCAACTTTTCTGCCATTACTCACTCATTCATCATATTGAAGTCGGATCCTACATCAATTTCATTTTAGACATCTAGATAGAAGACCTGAAATAAGCTACTTACAGCTGCACTCTTTATTCGTTATTAAACTGTCCTTATGACAGGCTAGGCAAACATGGCACCGATCAATGAAATCTACAACAGTTAGTTTAGGCCAATCACGTAGTAAGGTGTAGACTTCCTACCTACCTGTTTGGGGTACTCGGAACGGTAAAAAGCAATCAAGGCTGGAAACAATTGGTGATATGGCTCAAAGTGATCGTTCTCAATGGCTGGCTGGTGCAGATGCATCCACTCCTTGTGACTTATGATTTCCAATGAAACTGTATTGTTCTTCGTTATTACTATTCGTTTGCCTCACACCTCTGTTTACTGTCTTTATTATGCATTTCTTCTAGTTTCTTCTCTTGCTTTGCGTGCTACCTGGAAGGAGTGTGGCAACTTGAAGTGGTGCACATCGGTGCAAAGTTCTATGTCGAAAACAAACAGACAGGCTAGGGAAAGTTAAACAACAGCGTCCCAAAGCATGTGAACACACGAGCAACCTTGAGCCGACCAACCATACAAATCAGTGATTTTTCACAAAAATGACGTTTATTTACAAGAAATTGCATGAAAACATATTAAACGGCGTATTTTTCTCTGATATGACTTGAAAATACGTCCCAGTTCTAATGAGGAGTATCAATGGCTAAGTTAGACTAGTTCCTCTACACGTATTCACCGAGGTGACTGAAGATGATGAGCTGGGTTTTTTTAAGTCGTTTATCTCTCTTATCCTCATGTGCAGTCTTCCCCAAAAGCCCTCGGTTGAACAGAATGGACAGACGACTACTTACTAGGAAAATGTGGATAATAAAACAAATTAAAATAAATGATAACCAACTATAAACCTATCCGTAATCATAACGTTAATTACAAACCTTATCCTACCTGCTATCTTAATTAACAAATCTGTCTGTCTATTTTCGACATAGAACTTTGCACTGATGTGCACCACTTCAAGTCGCCACACTCCTTCCAGGTAGCACACAAAGCAAGAGAAGAAACTAGAAGAAATGCATAATAAAGACAGTAAACAGAGGTGTGAGGCAAACGAATAGTAATAACGAAGAACAATACAGTTTCATTGGAAATCATAAGTCACAAGGAGTGGATGCATCTGCACCAGCCAGCCATTGAGAACGATCACTTTGAGCCATATCACCAATTGTTTCCAGCCTTCATTGGTTTTTACCGTCCCAAGCATCCCAACCAGTCAGGAAGTCTGCACCTTCCTACGTGATTGGCTTAAACTAACTGTTGTGGATTTCAATGACTAGTGCAGCCATCTTTTGGTTTGACCACCGCTAGTTCTTTTCCAGTCTGGCCCTATGTCAGCTAACATTGCCCGTCTGTCGAGGAAGGCGATGGCTAGGGATACATGCATAACACATATCCTAACCATCTCAGTCTATGTAACTTCACAGCCTCTTCGATTGATTTTCCCTCCCACCAACCTAGTACTCGACTGCTGTCTAACCTCAATACTGCTCACCTTATTACACCACCTAACACATACGGGAGATAGAGTGCAGGCACCTATGATCAAAGACAGCTAGCCAGGTTTCTCATGTCTTCCACTCTCAACGGCCAGGTCTCACAGCCAGCCATAAAGGAGAAGGATAGAGCGGACTGATGAGCAGTACACCCACCCTTTGGTCGATAGCCAGCCGGATATCACGCCTACGCCACGGACGGTGTAAACTGGCATACGCCAAACTAACCCTCTGTATTCGTACTCAGCTGAGATTTCGTCAGAGACCAACCCGTTGGCACTGGCTGATGGTACTACCCACATAAGTGAAGCGGTCAACGTGCTCCACTTACCACTTCACTCCCTATTTCTAAACTAGGATTCAGTGTAGTCCAGTCCTATAGCCACATCAGCTTGCATTTGACGGGAGAGAATCGCATGCCAAACATTCGTAAATTGTAGCTCAAGGCGTTCAGAACAATTACAAATGATCAAAATAATGCTTAAAAATATGGTCTGGGTGAAATTTTCTCTTAAATTGGTGACTAGCGTTCATATTTGCGCTATAAATTATGACAGGTGTCGTTAGGCAACAACTAGAGTGCATTTAAAGTCATTGGAGAGTTTGCACCCCCTCCCCAGGGAGGCTATTATTTAACTTCACCACAGATTGAATTAAATATACATTGAAAAAAGAGGATAAACACTCACAGTATAAAAAAGTAGTAGTAAACTTACCGCGATGAAAACACTAGTCCAGATACGATTGTATTTCTTTTTTCAATTGCATTAGAAGTTTTAAGGCATAAATAAGTTAAAACCTTTATAGAATTTCGTTCAATATTAGAATTATTAGTCGAACTTTGTGAGATGAAATTAGTAGGCATGTTGTTATGTATTCGTTCACAGCAGCATTTGACCAGTTCATTTCTATTCTTGTGTATATATAAATTTACATAAAATTCTGATAGATGACTGAACTGCAGTGGATTGTGCAATGAATGTGAAGTGGAATTACTACCAGCTTGAGGAGTAGATGTTACTCTAGCGGTGCGAATCAACTCCTCTTTATTGCTATGATGGCAATCATCATCATCATCAATAACAGTAATAAGACTACTTTTTAAAAGACTGCTATTTGGAGCTGAAAACGCTGACATTAACGATGCATTTAAAGGTGCACGATTCGGTTGAATACAAATTGGTCGACGATTCGGTGGATCAGAATAGAATGGTAAGATATTAGTCGAGGTATGCTTTTGTATAGGAAAGCCTTCAGAAGATTGTTTCACAACCATTACGCGAAATCTACGACCATTCTACAATTGTTTTTAAAATAAACAAAAAAAAAAGAAATTATATTAATTAGTGTGTACAAAAGCCTGAAAGAAATGGAAATAAAGCTCTCACTTCTATCAATGAAAAAGTAGTTAGAACTTCTTAGTTATTGAGTATCTGGCTATGTGCTATATTTAATACAATGATTCCCTTTTATAAATTTGAACAAGGAAAGAAACACTGACGCAGAATAATCTGGATCCATTTTATTTCGTCGGTTCTCATCAGCTGCGTACAACCCGAACTTTTTTGATAACAATAAAAAGTGTACAATTTTAACAAACTTTTGTCCATTAGCAAGCATACTGTCAGAGCGTCATAGTTAAATAAGGCGTTGAGATTTACAGGGTGTCTAAAGTGTTACGATATATATATATATCTTGGTAGAGAGAAGTATCTTGAAAAAAATTTTACTAACTGTTGTGTTGTTGGGGTGGTAACAAAAGAAAATTAGCAACAGTTACGTAGTTAGATAAGAGAAGATCGAAATTTTACAATTTCGGTGCACATGAGAAGTTGGTGGTGTAATACAGTGAGCAGAACTCAGAAGATCAAGAAAAATTATCTCTTAAGAGAGTCAAGCGAAAAACAATAAAGAGAGGGAGTGGAGTGAAAAGATAAGCTAACAAAATTAGAAAACAGAAATACTACGAGGTGAGTCACCAGGGTTATTGAAGTCCATCAACGGATTCTTTTTGGACACATAAGTCAGACTTCAATCGTTTTATTGCTATAGCTTCAGCAAATGATTTTTTTTTATTTTTGATTTACAGCTTGATTCCACACTGTATTTTTGGTACAAGTGTGGAATTTTCAGCATGGATATCGGTAGCCCAAATTTTGCAGGCCGACCATAGATATCAGGTGTGCGTCGGCGTGGGCTCGAACCCCGGACCATGTGCATGGTCGGCGAGAGTCCTAACCACTGTGACACCGACGCACAAAGCCACACCCACGGCGGGACTTGAGGTACTTTGTCTGTTAATTTTGTTATTTTGAATGATTCCAGCACATCTACTCGGTGTCCTGTGTCAATCAGGTGTTTGGCGATTGAAGAGCTTAAACAATTCGGTCCGTTTAACCGGAGGCTCCTTGGTACATGTTCGCACAATCTGACGTAGGCCCTCCTTTCTGTTCTTCCAATGTAACTGCTCCCGCAGATACATATGAATTGGTATACACAGTTGGAGGTAACATGTGAGGGGTACTTGTCAATCTTTAACTGCACCAACGAAGGGATTGTTCGGGATACAGAGACTAATAACGCTGCCGGATACGTCCTAGACAGGGCTGTGCCTAATCTTTTATTAACCATTCTCATATTGTCGTCGCCCTTGTACTCGAGTTTGATTTAAATAGGCTTCTTACTGACTGTAGCTGTATCAAGAGCTTCTTGAGTTCATTCTTGCCATATTTGTTAATGAAACTTTGTGGGTAACCATTTTCTTTCAAGCATTTTTCAAGAAGCATTAGTTCACTGTCTAGTTTGTCTGGTGAACATATTCTCTTCGCTCGCTAGTGTTATATACACTTAATGCGCTGGGGCTGATGACACTACCACCACCAAGTTGTCCTCAAACTGAAGTAGGTGGACACCAAGATTGGATTTGCAGCACCTACTGACCAGAAATAAAACACTTGAACCAATGATCCACAGTGAAAAAAAACAGTATCTCATTTGATGGGACACTAGTAACAAGCGTACATGTATCTAGTTCTTTCTTTGGTGCAGACCAAATTCTATCAGTCAAATGGGGCTAAATTGCCTCCAGCCATCTATATATATATATCATCAAATCAGTATGCACCGTTATGGTGAGCCACTTAGAATGGTGATCACATTGCCAACTTGACTGATAGAATTCAGTCTGCACCAAAGAGAAAGGACTAGGCACATCACACTAGTTTATTAACTAGTGTCCAATCAAAGTATCGAATACACTTATAGGAGGTCGTCAATCGCGAGTCCGAATAGCCCCAGTGGTAACGTCTCTGACTGACTAAAGTAGAAGGTGATACGGGTTCGAATCTCAGAAGGGACATGAGTTTCTTTCAAGGTTGCAGATACGTCTTGGTGACTGGTGGTGAGTGCCAAGTAACACGAAACCTAGGTTCAAGGCTTCCTTTGGCCGATTGCCTTAAACCATCAATTACCTCATTTCTAAGAAGAAGATGAGCTTACAGTTCCAACAATCGAAGGTTTAACATCACCACCCACCACATACTGTTTGGCTGAATCAAAGTGGACATATCTTTTTGCAGTCATTGCTACAAGTCACTAGTGATGCTTCAACTCTTGTTGTTGAAAATACCGCTCTAATCAATTTTATACTACAGTTTGTTGGTTCTTCAAGTTGTCAATTCCCAACGTCTCACTGAATATCAACGTCAGATTCTTCAGATATCGGGGGCTCGAACAATATGTATACAATAAACTGAATAAGAACAATATGTATACAATATTCATATTTGTTCTTATTCAGTTTATCTTTGTGAAAATGACAAAGAATCTTCAATGAAGACTTTCGTTTTCTCAAAGTAGAGTCATTATTTAGAATGCATTACGAAAGAGCAAAAATCTCTCATCATCCACTCCTGACCCACCTTCTTCTAATGTTCCGCGGAAATCTACACATACTCGTCCAACTTCTCAAATTACTGCAAAGAAGACCCCACCATCACCATGCTGGCATTGTGGCGCGTGGCACTTTGTAAAGTTTTGTCCATACAAAAGTCATCGTTGCAGCAAGTGGAAAATCATCGGTCATAAACATGGTTTTTGTCAGTCACGCAAACACAGATGTCATAATCCAGCGAAAGCTCGACCAACTGTCGGTCCTAAATCCCCAAAAAGGTCTATGAGTCTAGTCGCAACCTGTCAAGTCACAACACCAGGTATGCGGAAATATCTTGATCTTCAGATGAATGGTCATGATGCACGTCTGCAGCTAGATACCGCCTCTGATATTACTGTCATATCAGAGAAACTTTGGAATAATATTAGGACTCTCGCCGACCATGCACATGGTCCGGGGTTCGAGCCCATGCCGGCGCACACCTGATACCATCCAAAGCCTCAGGATGGTCGGGGGTGGGTGTCTTGCGCTGCGGGTTGGCCACCCCTCCGCACACCTCTTGAAATGCTCCCATATGACCGTGCGTCTTACATAGCCTCTCCTGAGGAAGTCCTACTCACTGCCTTCACGTGGCGGAGGTGTTTCTCACTAAAGTGAGAGGGCAAAAGCGGATGCCCGGCGCTCTCCACCGGGTTGACTGTCCATTGGATGACAGTCTAGGGGAGATGGCTAAACCCTGATTCCAAACCTCCAACGATTGGCGTATGAAGCTCACTGGAGCTCACCGGCAGACGTATGGACAAAGGGCTTGTTGGATGTCCTGGATGTCTGGCCCCATTCAAAAAGGCGTATGAACCGAACTCCGGTCACCGGCTGCCAATGGATAGTGGACTCCTTACTCCACTCCTACTGCCTTGTAGGTCACACTTGGCTGTGTAAAGGCTAGAGCTGCACTCTCAAACAAAAGGCCGAGCGATGCTGGGGACATCACTCGTACCAAATTCCCAAGAAACTTCATGAACTCTCCTACAAACAACTCTCACCATGCTACGGCGTTCCCGGTAAGCGACGCGCCCTGTGCTCACCCGGTGGCCAGTGTGAAAAGTAAGCTAGCTGGGAAATTAACACTTAGAAACCAACTATTTGTTGGCTGCTGGAATGTTAGGACGCTGTTGGATCCTGGTAGCCAGTCTATCACCATGCGTTCTTTATATGACTACAAGGTAGACATAGCGTGTCTATCTGAAGTGAGGTTACCCGATCATGGCTCCCGCCGAATAGCCGTTCCTGGAACAGATTCTTCATTCTGGTTGCTTCATAGTGGCCCCCAGAATAATTCGGGACAACATGGGGTAGCATTTGCTCTCAGTAACAAAGCCAATAATGCCCTAATATCATTCGAACCGGTCAACTCCAGAGTTGCAGTCGCTAGGTTCAAGGGTTCCCCGCTCGACATTTCTGTTCTCGCTGTCTATGCCCCAACCCTCGACTCTGATGAAAGTATCAAAGACGAATTTTATGACAATCTTCAAGAGGCAATCAACAAAATCCCAAAGCGTGACGTTCTCATAGTAGCCGGCGATTGGAACGCCCGCACTGGCCCTTCAGACGACGCGACAAAACATATACTAGGCAAACACGGTCTCGATCAGCGCTGCCGTAATGGTGATAGACTTTTATCTTTTTCTGATTACAATCGATTATATATCACCAACACTCGATTTCAACACCCCAGAAAACATCTTCTCACCTGGTATTCGAACGACGGTCGCACTGCACATCAGATCGACTACATCCTAGTGCGCTCACGCTGGATCTCCTCGGTGGAAGACTGTCGATCCTATCGTGGAGCAGAGGCCGGAAATAAAGGGGGATCAGACCATACTCTAGTTAGGGCGAAATTCAAACTTCGTTTAACGACACGCCAGAAGACGCGACCTCCGAAGCGTATCAATGTTGCCCCGCTTCAATGTTCTACAAGACGACAAGCCTTGTCCAAACAAATCCAGGCCGAACTAAGCACCGCAGATGAACCAACATCCACATCTTCTAATACACCCGAGACACGATGGAATCATTTCAAAGAAGTAGTCTCTAAAGCTTCAATGACGCATTTGGGTACCACATCCAAGAAGCAGAAAGACTGGATTTCAGAGCACACCATGCTTCTATCCTCGCAAGCCAGAGACGCTCGCCTAGCAAAGTCTCCAGTTTATCGCTCCCTCAGGCGCAAAGCTACACAGTCTGCTAGGAACGACAGAAATCGCTATTGGTCTAACGTGGCGACTAACATGGAAGCAGCATCAAATGTAGGCGATTTCGGAAAACTTTATCGCCTCTTACGCCAATCATCTGGCAAACGCCTTAACAGTCATGCTGTGTTACGCACAGCATCAGGAGAAATTATTTCGGACACCAATGGTAAGATGGAACGATGGGCCGAACACTTCAAGCAGCTACTCAATCGCGACGCTGGTCAACCGTCTCATCGACCGATACGACACTTACCAACACCCTACGTAGTTGACTGCGATCCACCCACTCCAACCGAAATAGCTAAAACAATTAACACACTCAGAAACAAAAAAGCTCCGGGCGAAGATGGTCTACCCCCAGAAATATACAAGGCCTGCACTCCAGCGCTAATCGATGCACTGCACTCGCTGTTCTGCTCAATTTGGGAGTCCGAAACCATTCCTTCCGATTGGAGCACCTCAGTTCTGCTACCGTTCCACAAAAAGGGAGACAGGTCAATATGCGAGAACTACCGAGGCATAAGTCTGATTGATATCGCTGCTAAGGTTTTTGTTTCCATTCTCCTGAACCGCTTCGCGGCCGAACGCCACGTGCGAACAAGGCCAAATCAAGCCGGATTTCGACCTGGAAGAGGCTGTGTTGATCAATTATTCACACTGCGAAGAATTTTGGAACACAGGGACAAATTCCAACAGCCGACGGTTGCCTGCTTCATCGACTTCCAAGCGGCATTCGACTCAGTTGATCGAGGAGCACTCTGGTATCTAATGGAGCTCGACGGAGTTCCGACCAAGCTAATCAACCTGCTCAGGTCATACTACTCCAACACCAAAGCTCGAGTCCGAGTGAACGGTGAAGAGTCCCGCACTTTTGAGGTAACCAGCGGTGTCCGGCAAGGTTGTCCAGCATCCCCCATCCTGTTCAATTTCACAGTTGATTGGATTTTGCGGCACGCCCTAACCGAGCACCACGGCGTCCAACTTTCGCCCGATATTCACATAACCGACCTCGAATTCGCCGACGACGTCGTGCTGTTAGCTGAAAACTTCCCCGATATGCAACAGGCGCTCGACCAGATAAACCACCTCGCGTCTACTATCGGTTTGAAAATTAACACTTCCAAAACCAAAATGTTTTCGAACACATCCACCGGCAATGATGAAATCTTATCCTTAAATGGAGCACCTATTGAAATTGTGCCATCCTTCAGATATCTGGGATCCATAATGCTCCCCAACGGCCAAGCGAAAAACGAAGTGAATGCGCGAATCTCCAACGCCCGGAATGCGTTTCTACAGCTGAGGAGCGTTCTATGGAGCAAGAGAGAAATCAGTCTCAGGACTAAAATTCGGATCTACCAAGCTTCCATACGACCCGTTCTGCTGTATGGCTGTGAAACCTGGCCTCTTCGCGCGGAAGATTTACGCAGACTCGAGGTATTAGACCATTGGTGTCTCAGGTACATTCTGCATGTTCGTTGGCAGGACAAACTCTCCAACGAAGAAGTGCGTCGGCGTTGCTACAACATCAACCAAATTCCAGTACTGGTCCAACAACGCCGCCTTCGGTGGTTTGGCCATGTTCTGCGCCGACCAGATGACGATCTGGTCAAATCAGTTCTAAATCCCTCGCCATTACCATCTTGGCGATGTCGCAGAGGCGGACAGCTGAAGACATGGCTTGGTACAGTCAAGGCAGATATGGAGTGCCTGGGGCTACAAACGGTCTACGGACTCCGTATGTGGAACAAGAATTGGATATCCCTATCACAAAACCTTGCTTCAGATCGCCGCGCCTGGGCAGCGATGATTCGAGACGTTCATGAAGCCGGCTCATCCTCCCGTAGGAGATAGCCGAAGTAAAGTAAAGTAAAAAGTATATCTATGGTCGGCCTGCAAAATTTGGGCTACCGATATCCATGCTGAAAATTCCATACTTGTACCAAAAATACAGTGTGGAATCAAGCTGTAAATCAAAAAATCAAAAAAAAAATCAGACCACCAATCGCAAATACTTCTCAGACTGCTGTCAGCGCCTGTGGTGGGAGGCTCAAACTAATTGGTGAACTCAAATGTTCTGTTTCCTTCCGCAATACCGAATTCACAGGAATTTGCTACGTCACCAAGAGTGATTCAAATCTTTTGGGACTTGATTGGTTCGATCGTTTGCATCTGGTTGATGTCCCACTAAATTCTCTATGCAATGCAGTCAAGAAGCGTAATGTCAGACAATTCCGGACGAAGCCGAAGCCGCAAACCCAACAGGCAAACGAGGTGACAGACGTCAATAACAAGCTCAACGGTTCCAGATAAACCCCCAAGAAAACACGCTACTAATCATCAATCTTCTCAAAAGGGGAGGTGACATGTATCCACATGTGTGTGTTTTGCTGTTGACAGTCAGTTATATTTTGCTGTGTATGTGAATCGATATTCCATTATAATTGACAATATGTTTTTGTCTGTCCACTAACTAAACAAACATGTGTGACCTTGTTGTCATATGACATTACAACCAATCATGTTAAGACTGTCTATTGATTCGTTCATTTTGAACATTCGCTCATACACTTGTGTGACATTGATTTTCCTTGTTTGAAAAATACAAGTATCATCGTAAACCTAGTGGTTTTCTGATTTCCGCCTTCTTGCGTCAGGACTATTAATTACTCGACCAGTACATAACAATAATTTATTACTAACTAACTAACTAACTAACTGACTTCAGCATAGAAGTGTAACAGTTTGAGTTGCCACACACCAAGTACCACACAAAGGAAGAAGAAATAGGGAGAAAAAAAGAGTACAAGGGGAACGATAATAAGCATAAATGTGAAGGAAAATGAATAGTAGCATGAAAAAACAAAAACATGAGGGTTTAATGGATATGGGATATCATTAAAACAGTGAATACGCATCTGCGCCATTTTGAGCCATATCACCAATTGTGACTGACTGACTGACTAGTTTCAACTTAGAACTTTGCACAGACGTACACCAGTTCGAGTTCTCACACTCCTAGAAAGTAGCAACACAAAGCAAGAGAAGGGAGTAAAGAAGGACTCAAAACAGTAATATGAGGTAAAAAGAACAAGAATATGGAAGAACAATAGAGTTTTATCGGATACGACAAGTCACAGAGAGTGAATGCATCTGAGACATTTAGAACGACTTTGAGCCTAATCAGCGATTGTCTCCAACCATTGTTTTACAGACCCACGGAAACAACCAGTCAGGAAGCCTACATCCCACCCCCTACGTGGCTTAAACTAACTGTTGTGGATTTCATTGACTGATAAAGCCATGTTTTAGTTTGACCACTACTAGCTGTTTTACAACGTGATCCATCCTAGGTCAGCTAACATTTCTCGTCTGTCGAGGAAGGCGATGCCTAGCGATGCATACATAACACATGTATCCTAACCATCTCAATCGGTGTAACTTCACAACCTCGTCAACTGATTCCCCCCCCCTCCCCTAACCTAGTACTCGACCGATATCTAGCCTCAGTATTGTTCACCTTTTTATACCATATAACACGGAACACAGACACCTATGATCACAGACAGCTAGCCTTTTCATGTCTTCCATTTGCAATGGCCATATCTCAGCCGCCATATTTGGCTGTTAGATTTATCGTCAAACATCCTAGTCTACGATCTGCTATCGTAAAACCTACCTTGTTATAGACTTAAAAACTATTTAATATAATTGATGATTTACATTAGGAGTCATTTCGGCCTCTGTGGATAATAACCAACAATCAATCACTCCCATATAATCGGTCGTTATTATTATGAAAGCATGCATCGACCAAGTTGTTCATATTTCGAGTTGCTTGATTAGTATAAATGGGTAACAATGAATTATACTCAAAGACGGTATAACAAGATGTATTCGGGAGAAATACATGTAGATGAAACCAACTGTCACAAGAAATTATCACAGTGGAAAGCACAAAGATCTGCAGACAAATGCATTGGTGACGTCACTTAGCAAGTGATATGAGATACCAAATTAATTAATGATGCTTGCACGCATAATCTCTACTTTATATATTCAGGAACACCAACCTACCTTTGCATTATGATATTCTAAAGGACAGAAATCTTGAAACGCCGAAATTATTTGATTGGTAGTTTCTGATTGCCCGTGTACGCGTAACTTTACAACTGTATCTCCCCAAGCCGTACTATTTAACATGTCAGCACTTTTATCTGAAAATGATACTGACTTATGCATCTCAGTAGCAACAGCAGCTGAAGAGGAGGAAGAGGCGATAGTTTCAATTGTATTCAAACTACATGGACCAGTTAAAGGCACTGACGGAGGAGCTGGTATGACAGAAAGGCCACATACAGCATTGTTTGTTCTGGTTAAAGTAACGTCCTGAAGGGAAATAAACAAAAGAAAATAAACTTTTTAATCGGTTGACAAACAGGTGTACAATAATAAAGGTAGACTACAACTTGTAGTAGGTAAAATACCCGTATTCACCGCAAGTGATTTTAAAGATCAGATAGGCACATAAAAATGTAGTTTACATTAGTAAATATCAGTCACGCTAAAACTCATATCACAATCACAACTACATACAACCTAGTTATGATTTATTGCATACCAATTGTATGTTGCTGGAATCAGGAAAGGGGAATAGCAACTCTGTGGGTCATCCTCATCATCGAACAGTGCAGTCAAACGTTGATGATCTACCTCAATTTCATCGACTTTGAAAAAGCCTTCGACAGACAGTTTTGACTGAGAAGTAATTTAAAAATACTATAACATGCCCCACACATTTCACACAAAATCGAAGACTTACAAGCGAAAACCGACAAACTGGTCGAAGAAGCAACCGGTGAAGACAGGACTCCAAGTGAACATAGACAAGACGGAGGTTATGGAAATAACCAACCAACCAACCAACAACAACAACAGCAACATCCAGCGACCTTTATCAACCAACAACTGTCTTCGCTCAATCTATACTGAAGATCAGGTGGCCGGACCGGAAAGAATCACCAACAAGAAACTATGGGCACTAACAAACAAAACAAGAACCAATCGCCAACCAACAAATATGCAGGAGAAAGTGGAGATGGATGGATTGGACACTCACTCGCTGAGGAGGCCGGTTGGTGACATCTCGCGCGCGTCAGGCCATTGCTCGAGTGGAACCAGGCCGAAAGGGAAGAGGCGAGTGGGACGTCAGTGCAAGGGTGACATGGAGGAGATCATGTGAAGAGAGGTTGAAACAGTATGGACTAACATGGATGCAGGTGAAAAGTACAGCAGTAGACATAAGCAAGTGGAGACGTGCAGTTGAAGCCACTAGGAACCCAAGGGAACAATAATAATAATAGCATGCCCCAAATCTTTATCATGATCACTCAATAGTTATGTGACGATGGCATGTGTCAGGTGATCCACAAGAGAAAACTCAGCCAGGCGTTTGAAGTGAATACAAAAGTAAGACAGGGCTGTCTACTACTACCGATGATATTCTTAACTGTGGCCGAGTGCATTACGCAGAACGCTGTGAATAAGGAGCGAGAAGACTCTACGACACATCTTAACTCTGCGAACGATTTATTTTTAATGGAAGATTTACAGATGAAAACCAACAAACTGGCAGAAGAGAAGGACAGCGAATTCAGGACTTCAAGTAAACAGAGAGAAGACAGAGGCGGCGAAGATAACCAACCAATTACAACAATAACAACAGCAACAAGCACTAGTCACTGTAGACGGGAGATATTTGAAAGAGGTTACTTCTATCAATTATCTCGACAGCATGATCTCAACCACTGATGAGTGCGGATGAAGATATCAAAACCAGAAGCAGAAAGGCAAGTCACACACCTTCACCACTCTGAAATCAGTTTAGGAATCTTTTGAAGTCAGCCCGAAGAACAAGATTCGGATTTTAAACACCAATGTTAAGTTGGTCGGTTCTTTTATATGGGCCAGAAAATGTGCGTGTCACGAAAAGCATTACGAAAAAGTTACAAACTTTTATCAACAGCTAGCTGCCTTCGCTCTATATCGAAGATCAAATGGCTGGCCAGAAAGAATTAGCAACAAGAAACTAAGGGAACGAACCGATCAAGAATCTGTCATTCAATAAATATCCTAAAGAAAATAGAGATGCATCGGACACACACATTGAGGAGACCATCAAATGACACTGCGTGCCAGCCAGTTCATCGCCCGAGTGGAATCCGAATGGGAAACGACGGGTTTGGGGTGTGTCCCAGGGTGACATGGAGGAAAATGTGCAAGGAGGAGATGAGAGATTATGTGCAATCGTAGAACCGACTAAAGAGGACGGCTGAGGGCAGGAAAAAGTGGAGAAGTGATGTTGAAGCCCTACATTCCACTTGGAACCCAAAGGAATAATAATTAATATACGCAAGGGGTCAAAAATAATGATAATCTCATATTACACTTGACCGTTTTTCATAACAGTCGTTTGAAATAGATTGACATAAGTCAGATGTTTGATTAGTAGTACTTATAAGACACTGAAGATTTCCAGTAAAACTGCTCCTTGTATAAGTATATAAGAACTAATGCAGACCGCTTTGAGAGATGAACTGTCAGAAGCTGTCAGGCACAACAAACGTCATATAAAAGATGGTGGTAGTTTAACAGTGGGGACTTTTAGTCCTATACTGAAAGCCAGAACGCAATAAACCAGTTTAGTCATAGGTTTCAATTTTAATGCTTTATTGGACATGAAATCACCGCCTGCTTTTTGCTAAATACTTATGCTGGACTGACTAACAGAGGTATTGACGTAAATTTTTCATGAAATATCAGCGTATATTACAACTCAATTGAGCTTCTGCAGCTAAATTTAGCCAAGCAATGCATAACCACAACTGTCGGCTGGTGTCTAACAATAGTGCATTTTCACCCCTGGGATTTAAAAAATTATACAACAACAACAACAGCATAAAATCGGCATAAAATACATAGATCGATCACTCCAACTAAATACTAAAACTAAGCCAGTAAACATATACTTCGAATCCAAGGTTATGCGTGCCAACAACTAAGTCATTTAAACAGGTATTGAGTACATTCAAGAGAAAAACAAGTCGTTTTAATGGATCGTAGTAATTGTTAACGACTCAATATGCATACACCTTAAATATGATAAATTATCTTTAATTTTACGCCGTACCAAATCATGTATTATTTGATATATTTATGTCTGTCATCCATACACTTGATGCTCACTGAGATACTTATACGCATGCTAAATCGAAATATCACTAAATAATATCATAGAATTAGTCATCATATAAAGTGAAAGCAGCAACACGCAAACGGCTAATTCGTTTAGGATTCCAGTTTCTAGGCTTTGTGTTCTCAGTTAGAAATGCACCCAACTACAACCTCAAAGGCTGAAAATCATAAGCCCTAATGCTATTACCCGGTCATTACACGAAAACCCGTTCGGTGTAACTTGCTATCACCCCTACACTCGGCTGTCAATGAATATTTTCCAACCTCTGAATCGAATACCAGTTCTGTCTGTTTTCGACATAGAACCTTGCACATATGTGCACCAGTTCAAGTCACCACACTCCTCCCAGGTAGCACACAAAGCAAGAGAAGAAACTAGAAGAAATGCATAATAAAGACAGTAAACAGAGGTGTGAGGCAAACGAATAGTAATAACGAAGAACAATACAGTTTCATTGGAAATCATAAGTCACAAGGAGTGGATGTATCTGCACCAGCCAGCCATTGAGAACGATCACTTTGAGCCATATCACCAATTGTTTCCAGCCTTCATTGCTTTTTACCGTCCCAAGCATCCCAACCAGTCAGGAAGTCTACACCTTCCTACTTGACTGGCTTAAACTAACTGTTGTGGATTTCAATGACTGTTGAAGCCATGTTTTAGTTTGACCACCACTGGCGATTTTCCAACTTGATCCGTCCTACATCAGCTAACATTTCTCATCTGTCGAGGAAGGCGATGACTAGAGATGCATGCATGACACATGTGTCCTAACCATCTCAGTCGATGTAACTTCACAACCTCGATTGATTTACCCTCCCACCTACCTAGCACTCGGCGCCTAACCTCAATATTGCTCACCCTATTACACGTACCATCTAACACGAGAGACTGAACGCAGGCACCTATGATCAAAGACAGCTAGCCAGGTTTCTCATGTCTTCCACTCTCAACGGCCAGGTCTCACAGCCAGCCATAAAGGAGAAGGATAGAGCGGACTGATGAGCAGTACACCCGCCCTTTGGTCGATAGCCAGCCGGATATCACGTCTACGCCAGAGACGGCGTAAACTGGCATATGCGAAACTAGCCCTCTGTGAACGTGTTAATACTTCGTTAGGGAAATCTCACCTCACTAAAAATTTGTATAAAACAGGGGGGTGTTTTAACGTACGTGAAGTAGTGAGTGTGAATGACGATTATGATTGGTGAATAAGCACGGTTTACTTAGAGTTGAAATTCTGATTCCAAATCAATGGTTGTGCTGCCACCGAAATTCCGTTCAACACACTAATTTCTGATGCCTTACTGACTTATAGACAACGCTATAAGTGTAAGCACCACTTTAGCCTTTACATAAGTTATTGAAGAAAATTATAAACCATATCCCTAAGTATAAATGCACAAAATGCTCCAACTACATTCCTAACGATTATCTATAAATATTTGGGGGGATGTCAAGTTAAGCAGACTGATCACAGTAAACTGACAATTAGATTATATCATGAAAATAACAAACCTGAGATGGTACAAATTGTTCGGAAATTCCCAGTTCACCCTTTGATGCAGTCAAGCCACCAGATTGTATAGAATGAATGTAGCAATCTTTATTTTGACAACTTAAAGGTATACTAACAGACGAATGTAGATTTCCATTACACGAGTTCATACCATATTCAAACCAACGTAAACTGGAGCTAGAAAAGAAAAAGAAATAGATGTAAATGAATAGTAACATTGCGAAAACAAATAAAACGGTAGAAAGCTCATGAAGTTCATGCTAAAACAATAAACGGATTTTCAGTGCTACATATCGTGTTATGAGCAAGAAAACTAGTGGCTAAGTAACATGTCATATTTACATAATACTCTGTCTGTCTGGATTCAACATAGAACTTAGCACCGAAGTGCTCCAGTTCGAGTTGCCACGTTCCAAATAGCACACAAAGGTACACAAGAAGATGAGTGGAGAGAATTAATAGAGTTCCACAAGTATAAGAGTGAAACAGAATGGGTAATGGTAAAAAGGAATATGAGAGATTACAGAAACTGAATACATCTGCGCCATTGACAACGATTTTGAGCCATGTCACATATTGTCTCCAGCCATTGATTCCTAGAGTCAGTCCCGAGGGCCCCAACCCGGAAGTCTGCATCTCCCTACCTGACTCAGTTTAACTGTCAAGGATTTCAGGGATTGGTGCCATGTTTTTGTTTGGTCACCACTTACTCTTTTCCAACCGGCACCTATATCAGCTAGTAATTCCCATCAGGAGAGGCTATGGTTAGGCATGTACAGCACGTGACCTAGCCATCTCAATCTATGTAACTTCATAGCCTCGTCGATTGATTTTCCCTCTTTGCCCAACACTTTACGCCTAACATCATCATTACTTACCTTATTATACCACCTAACGTGAGAAAGAGATCGTAGACATCTATGATAAAAAACAGTCAACCTTATCATGTCTTCAACTCGTATTGGCCACGTTTCAGAATACATTTACATAATACAAGAAATTACTAGGTTTAAATTCAAATATACACACTATATATAAAGGGCGAAAACAGATGGTAACAGAAAATTCTAATTTGGTACTGATGGTGTACTGCTCATCACTCCGCTCCGTCCTCCTTTATGGCTGTGAGACCTGGCCATTGAGAGTGGAAGACATGAAAAGGCTAGCTGTCTGTTAGCATAGGTGTCTGCGTTCTGTCTCCCACTTTAAGTGAAATTATAAGGTAAGCAATATTGAGATTAGGCGCCGAGTGCTAGGGTAGTTGTAGTGGAAATCAATCGACGAGGCTGTGAAATTACATCGATTGAGATGGTTAGGACACATGTGTCATGCATGCATCTCTAGTCATCGCCTTCCTTGACAGATGAGAAATGTTAGCTGATGTAGGACGGATCAAGTTGGAAAATCGCCAGTGGTGGTCAAACTAAAACATGGCTTCAACAGTCATTGAAATCCACAACAGTTAGTTTAAGCCAGTCAAGTAGGAAGGTGTAGACTTCCTGACTGGTTGGGATGCTTGGGACGGTAAAAAGCAATGAAGGCTGGAAACAATTGGTGATATGGCTCAAAGTGATCGTTCTCAATGGCTGGCTGGTGCAGATACATCCACTCCTTGTGACTTATGATTTCCAATGAAACTGTATTGTTCTTCGTTATTACTATTCGTTTGCCTCACACCTCTGTTTACTGTCTTTATTATGCATTTCTTCTAGTTTCTTCTCTTGCTTTGTGTGCTACCTGGGAGGAGTGTGGTGACTTGAACTGGTGCACATATGTGCAAGGTTCTATGTCGAAAATAGATAGATTAAAGTTAAAAATGTACTTGCATTTACACAGATGTATAGGAGCTAGGGTGAAACAGAGAAAGACTAAGATGTGGGTTTGATGCTTATGTACTTAGAAAGCTCAAGACCTTAATGTATTTTGTCTCCAGAGTTTACTAGTCATGCTCTGTCGTGAAGTGGGACAGAGGGACGTGTTCAACAGTATATACTTATCACGAAGAGAGTCCTGGTAGTTTCCTGGTGTGTCGAGGATGAATCCAGTCGACAGATGTCAAAGCAACCCTTTGTAACTATGCTTTGATTATGTCAGCGACCACCTCACTATTGGTGACGCAACTTCCGATGGGGAAATAATGCAGGCGACGCATACTCATGTTTCAGTACAGGAGATTTGGAAAACTTATTTCTCAACATCCTCACCTAAAAGAATCAGTTTATTTTAATTCAATAAGATCTTTCCCTGGGAAAAGTCAGACTTATCTCTATAAGTACGTCTACCATATAATTAAAACCGATGATACATTGTGAGTGGAGTGACGCCTCTAGATCTTCACACCAGTACATGTGAGTTCCACAATCCATCAAAGTGAAAGGACATCATCAATACACTTCAGTCTGATCGTAGAGACATCTTTAATTCCTTGAATTATGAGCACCAGTATGGATGACTACAAACGTTAGAAAGTTAGATACTGTATAAGTCAAGCTGACACCTCAATAGTGACACAACTTCCTCTGTTCTTATGAGCTAAAATGATTAGTTGTTTCACTATCATAGTGAAACTTAATTTTTTATACATTAGTTATCACTTAGTAATGTTATCCGTATAGGCTTCCTAAGTCTAACAATTACATTGTACCGACTTACCTAATTTCACAATCAGGAGAACCTTTGCCGTTTCAATTCCAGAACTTGTCTTTTTATCAAGTCTAAATACATTACTGATTGATAAATGTACTGACTGACTCGCACTCAAAGTTCATGCAGTTTTCCATTCATTATCAGTCTTAGCAATTAACTTACAACCAAGGAGTAGTAAATTCAAATTTTGAGATTCTAAAGACTTGAACAGTGAAGCTTGTTTACTTCAGCACCAAAGCACTAGAGACGTCAAATGCTCAGAACAAATGCATTAACAAAATTTACTAAAGCAATCTATTGCACTAAAAGTCTGCTTTTTGTCCATTAAAATGTATGTTGTAACTTCGGACTATTTCTTGCAGTGATAGCTTTAATATAGGTCCAGTCGTTCATAGTATTTGATACTAAAATAAAATGTTTAATTGGAATGCTATGAGATAACTGAGTACCAATGAAAAATGACGTAAAAGATGCCATTGAGACTAGGAAATCCATATACATCTCTGCTCAAAAGAGCGACCCTAGACTAAACAGAAAGGCAAGTCGACAATTGGTAAGTTTACCAAAACACATGAAGAGTATTCTGTCAGATGCATGCAAATGAAAGGTCTTAAGGAAACCACTTTAGTCATACAATGTATACGATTTATTAGATTCAGATTATGCGAATCTTAACTTAAAAATCTAAGCAGAAAGAAACAAAAATGCATATAATGTAACGAAGTACTTACCATAATGACTTCTTGAAACATATGGGAAACGGCTTTCGCAAATTCAATGCTCTCTTGAGAATGGGATCTAGAAGGCCATTACGGAGTTTATGCTTTTTCATATCATTATAATATCCGAAAAATGCAGCAGATTGAAAGACAGTAGAGATGTTAATATTGAGACGTGAAGATGTCTCCACAACGCAAACATTTTTCATCCAACTTCTTTTGGATTCGCTAACAGTTTTCCTGAGTAAGATTGAAGCTTCATTAGAAACAACTGTATCATGTTTAGTTGTCGCAACAACGATTGGTAACTTCAATGACGAAAGACGTGACACAGCATGTCGTAAAAAAGCAGCCTGTTGTACAGCTGCAGGCCCACGCAATGACATATCGTATGCGTATACGAAAACATCGACGGACAGAGTTGTGGGCTCAAGATATACTTGTGGGAAAGCAGACTCGTGACCAAGCTGTTCCTTACAAATGTACGACAGCTTCCTTGAGTGAAGGTGAATTTTGCAGTCCAGGCATCTTTCAGCATAAGGCCTATCCTCAAAGAGAGGCTGAAAAACGTGATCATCCACGAAATCACACTGTTCGATAATTCTGATTTGTACCGTAACACCATCAACAGTTACACTGCTATCCCCCCAGTAGAGCCAGTGACTAGAGCAGACTACTTCTCCATCAAAATCTGACAAACTGAGCACAGATAAGTGGTTGTCATTGAAATGTGACGGAACTAGGAAACGACTGATCAAACACGACTTTCCAACATGCTGACGAGCACCGACTGCCGAACCTGGATATCCAATTACAGACACAGTGACCTTTTTAGATGTACGCAACACCATTTTCGGCATATAGGATACGCGCACATCCTGCCAAAAGACTCGCAACTCCCAACTCACGTGGTGTACGATTTGAGTGCTCAAAATAGTAGTTGATTTAAACAAAATTGAACAAAATCACAAAAAGAGACGAATTTTCGGTGTTTTTTTTAATATTAGTCTCACAAAACTACTTTTAATATTTTCAAGTCTACACAACAAGGCGACATTTCAAAAGTGGTTACCCATTTCCGTATGTTCGACAAAAATGAAAGTGGTAATTCACAGTATGTAGATTTGTTTGGTAAGTCTGATAACTAAACCTTGAAAAACATAACCAATTATTTCTATTAGCTTTAAACAGCACGTAATTCTTATCTCAAACAGTGTTGATATTCAGGTGCGACATGTTGCTATATAGCAAGATTTCTAATGAGGAATCTCATTCAAATCTTCCGGTAAATTTGAATGTTTTTCAGTTGGAGAATGTTAATGTGTCTTAAGACACCACTGGCAACCACCAACTAACTTTCCTCAACGTAACTTATGAAAAATAGCGTATGAAACAGCGTGTGGTTCTAAGTTCTCTCCCCTTCCTGCTTTGCTCGAATTATGTGTTGTTTAGGATAAAGCCACATTTGCTGATGTTTGGCGATGGTTTTAAGCTGCCTAGAGTCATAGAAAACAGTAGTTATACGATGAAAGAGAAAGAATTACGTTGAAAGATACTGTGGGTTTCTCAGTCGAATGGTTTATGTAACAGTCTTCGGAAAATGCTAATGAACATAAAGGTTTGAAACAGGTTGTAAGTCATCATCCCAAGACACCAAATCAGTGTTTAGAATATTAATGACTTTCCATAAAGTTTTCTCAGACCTTAATGATGTACTTACACGCGACATATATCATATCTTATTTGGAAACTGTATTTGAAAAACCAGCCCATTATAGAAGTACGAAGCACATATATTTGAAATGTTGAAGAATAGGATGGAAACTTTCAGACCTTTTACTTGGGAGCAAGCTAGATTGAAAGGATTTCATGTCAGTTTCATACCGGTGACTGACTGACCACTTTACACAAGCATTCAATAATTCTTGAAATAGCTTGAGTGCTAATTCATTCTACTTGTTTTCTGTTTGTAGGTTTGACCTTTTTTGAGAACGCTAGCTTAAAGTTCAAAAACTACGGTTGAAGTATCTGCATTTGGAAGTTCATTTCCCCCAATCAGCAGACTTCTGTGCTGGACTAAGCCATCTCAGAATATGCTGATAAATTGAAAGAAATATTTCATCCCCCCGCCCTAAATTTAACAAGGACCTAGCATAGTAAGAATCTCAAACCAAGACATCCTGTATCTATATTTCTGGTGTGAACCGAAATCAGGTAATATTTAGATTTGTTTGTGAATAAATATTTTTCCTGTCGTTTCTAAAATGACCCTAAATCTATATTCATAAAGTAATGGTTTGTTGGCAAACCTATTTTTTGACCCCCTTTAGAGGTAAATACATCTAAACTCTCTCCCTCTCTCTCTCTGAACTCTTCTAGAGCGTAGATATTCAAATAGAGGGTTGATTCAACCGTTTCAGTTGCTCTTTATAAAGAATTCGAACTAGTCTCGCCAACTGCTCGAAGCTTATTACTTTTATGGTTCCCTTTAAATCAACCTTCTTTGGAAAGCTGGGAGTAACCGTTTGAATCAGGTTTCCAAAATTCATCCTTGCATATCAGAAGCATACTTGTGCTCTTAAATTATTCTAATATTTATGAAAAGACCCCAGCACATAAAGTGCTTAGATGCAAATCCAGTCATATTAATCTGACAGGAAGTGTTTGCTAAGGTGAACTACATTGTGTCATCGTTTTCAAGTTTATATGTGAGATAACCTCGTAATTCTATTCTGAAGCATCCAATAAGAAGAATGTGTGCTGAATTCAGCCACCTTTCAAAAGCGTTTTCTGTTTCAGTCTTACCCACATCTCTAGGAAGCTTTCTTTCCTAGCCTTTCTCCAGTTGTGCTTAACTAGAAATCAGTTATTCTAACATAACGTTTTAACCGAGGATTAATGCTGCTTCTGTACCGGTAAATTATGTTACTTGACGTCACCATGCAACTTATGTAGTATTATCTTCTTTATAACCCTAAAACCATTACTAATAAAACGTATTGGCCTGTTATTATTCCTTTTATTCATTTTCTACGTTACGAGTTAAAAATAGGTATTCAGCATCACATCGCCATTTTACTTTGTTCTCTGTTGTTATTTCTACTTGACTTCATGCTCGCCTAAAGCCTTTTATTCCCCCTTCTATGATCTCCTCCATGACTCTATGATATACCCAACAGGTCACTTATTATTCGGATTCCCGTTGAAGGCCTGGTGTATGATGTTACTTGAATATCTCCTCGCTATATGCTCAGTTCACCGCCATCTTCATCTGCATATTTGTCGGTTAACAGGTTCTTGGCTAGTTTTCTGCCGGTCATCTGATCTTCAGTATCGATCAAAGGTAGATACCGACGAAAGTTTAAGGGAGTTTGTGAGAAATGCTTTAGATAACGTTTACGCTGAGTCTTTGAACCACATAAATACGCTGACTTCATAATAATGTCGGAAATCCAGATGTAATTCCTTGCTCTGAGTTCTGTAAATATACACACCGACTTCAGTGCAATGTACGGCCGTCTTGCTTTCCCGATCCTGGCTGGCTTTGATATCCCTGTCCGTGCAACTTCATAGAGTTGAAGGGATGTTGCTCACGTAGTCAAGACAAATAACTTCCTTCTGATTTATCTCTGTTGATTGTGAGTGTTGCTTGCATTTTTCGGCCAGGTACCTTCGTCACCTCTGCATTTACTCGACTTCCTTGAATCCTTGTCTTCGCTACCTTTTCTGGCAATGTTGTTGCTTTTTTGTCAAGCCTGAAATCAGCTTTTAATCGTCTGTCAGCGCCATCAGTGTCTAAAAGGAAATACCTAGAACATCGGAATGATAAGTATTCCCTTGTAAAGTTGATTAACAGTCACATTTTGAATTTCACTCTACACATGGAATTTTACCAACCACCATGTGATCACTGTTGGATAATGGAGTTAGGCATTGAAGATCAGTCACATAGTTTTCATAGCAGTTCGAACAACCCTTTTCATATATGCTTATGACTCATCAGTATTTATAGAAGTTCTCCCTCAACTCCTGCATTGTTTCCTTTCATCTTGATCCCACTTAGTCAGCATATATATATATAACCACCGATATGGCGTGTTGTCACGAGCACACCCAGCCCACACGATCGCGCATTCATCTGTACCCACCTAAGCATGCTTCCCTAGCGAAGTCGATAGACTGCTGCAATATGTCTGAAGAGTGAATGTTTCTTTGTTCCTCTTTTTGCTGTATCTGCTTATTATTATTATTTCCAAGAATCATGAAAATTTTGATATTTCTAGTAAGTTATTCGGTTTCAAAAGGAACAATAGTGAGCATGAGACTTTGACTTATAATATGCTGGCAACCCGATGCTTTCATCAAAGTGTACTGCAGACGAAATCTAAAGTAGTCTACACTCTTATGTTCCTTCAAGGTTGCAGATACGCCTTGCTGACGAGTGTCAACTAGCACGAAACCTAGGTCCAAGACTTCCTGTGGCCGATTGCCTCCATCCATCTTATACCAACATTTCACAGTGCACCGCAATGGCGAGCCACCTAGTGGCATGGTGGCTAAATTGAGAGCTTGACTGATAGAATTCAGTCTGCAGCGAACATAGGACTAGACACATTACACTCGTTACTGACTAGTGTGGAATCCAAGATAGTCGACACTCTTTTCTTTAATTCTTTAGGGTAAAGGGTTTGGTAGGACTGCCCATTAGCAACAAGAAACTATGGAAAAAAAACTAACCAAGTATCTATCTTTCAACAAATATGTAGGAGGAAAAGTGAAGTGGATCTAGAATACGTTGAGGAGGCTCTCGAGTGGAATCCCAAAGGGAAAAGACGAGTGAGTTGTCGATACGAGAGTGACATGGAAAACATCGTACGAGGATGGGATGAAAGATTACGGACAGTTGTGAACCTAGCTGAAGAGGAGTGCAAAAAAAGAAACAGAGTGGAGATGTATTGTTGAAGCCCTTTGTTCCAATTGGAACCCAAGGGAACAACAATAATAATATGACTTCTCATCAGTTCCTAAAAAGTAGAGCTCCAATCTTTCTGAGATATAAAGTCCCATTGGGTTTCTTGTCTTACATTTGGAGCTTCAGCCACAAGAAGATTATTCCCCTGGTTTGAAAGACTAGCATCATTAAGAATTATGGTAGGTGAGATGGAATTTTTTTTCCAGCTTTCACACTCTGAGCAAACGAACTTAATGTTATCTCAGTATCTCTCGTAACTTTTACAAAGAGCTGTAGGTTTGTTCATGAGTTTATTATCCCAGATGAAACTGGATAGTGGGTAATTCAGAAGTGAACAGAGACTAGCTCAATTGTCCTCCACCCCCCCCCCAAGTTATTATACCCACTTTTTTATTTGCTTTCTTGTGATGGCATCATCAAACTGTATTTACTGGTTATAGTTTTTTTTTGAACCGTTAAGTTCGTTTGATAAGGTGGATAGCAGACTGTTATTACCCACCACTAATTTCTACACCATTGTAACTTTTGCTGCGAACTACTACCGGCACTCCTCTCGGAGACCTCTACTCAATCTACATTTATTATCAGTTTAAGAAAAGCTTCTGCTATATTCATTTCTGATCTACTGACCATTTATTAGTGTAACCGGTTTTATTGATTATTTCACCATAAATTAGAGGTATTTTAGATTTTCTGCCTTTTCTACGAGGTATTTAGGAAGCTGGGGGAGCAGTAGTGTCTTCGTCGTTCAGCTGATGTCATAAAGATTTCCTATTTATAGTTTTAGTGTATCAATTAACGTGCAAATAAAGGCTCATTGAAACTACTGTGTGGTTAGCATTCAAGGTTTTTTTTCTTCACGTTCCCAGGGGAACATAGGATTTCAAGCTGGTTTCCGTAGCAGTGTTTATTTTACAGGATGGAGTTGCTAGCCTCATGCTCAACCTTTCCTCTTTGCCAGCATTATTTCTGGCTTAAAGAGGAAAAGGAATGCGTCTGTGGCCGAGGATCGAACCCCGGACCATGTGCATGGTCGCCGAGCTTCCTAACCGCTATACCACCAACTCAGGATTCAAGTTTAGGAGGAATTTATTTAAATATTATTTTTATTCCTGACCTCATTTTGTGTTTAAATTTTCATATTCATTTTAGATTGAACTCAGGCAATGTTCTTGTGTTTTCATTTTCTTCTGAATGGATTACTATGAAAACACTGAAAAATACCATTCCGACAATAATTTTATGGATTTGTTTCGTCATTTGTGATTCGACAAGCAGTCCTCTTCCCACCATCTGTGATCATGGAACAATCAATACTTCCAACGTTGTAACTCACGTGATGTACTCTGATAAACAAAAAGTTATTCGTCGCAGTATACCATCAGAATTAAAAATCCATACTCACTATGATAGATCGATTAAATCGTTAAAGAATTTTCATCATATTAAGGTAATAACTACCTGAACTTATATGCATATGAGTAGAGAGATATCATTGAGGTGGCAGTAAACTTTTGGAGAGATGCTCTCCTAGTACGTCAGTCTTATATCATACCTAGTCGGCTAAGACTAGACAGGTAAGTCAACTTCATGCGCTTAATAATTACCTTTACCTGCAGAGCTTGTGTTGATGCTGCTACAAAGTTATCGAAATTTGATAACCAACTTTTAACATTTTGTACTAATGGATGTATGGATTGGACGAAATGTGGACCTGTTAATATTCCAGTATCCCATCTAAATGTACACCACTTTTCATTCATATTCATGAAGAATTTTTTTTTCCTTTTTTCCCCTATTCTTATTAGCAATGTAGGTTTATATACAATGGAACTGCAATGATGTCAGGTCATAAAGGAGAAGGAGTATATGGAGTCAATTTTATACTGTACATTTCATCGCTCAGAACGCATCGGTGTAATACGGCTAAGGTTTTAGGCTATGCTGCACATTGTCAACTAGAAGCGAATACTGATCGGTAAGTTTAGTTTACTTTTTTTCAGAAATTATAACTTCAGTTGAAAAGTGACCTTATTCTTTTATGATAAACTTCAGGTGCACATAGAGAAAATAGAGGTGATGAAGATACCTAGCCAACAGCAGCAGCAACAACAACAGACAACAATCAGCCAGTGTAAATGGGAGAAATCTGAAAGAAGCAACCTCCTTTACATACTCACCCACCTGGGAAGCATCGTTTCAACTACAGACAGACAGGACTGACGAGGATATCAAAGCAGCGAGGATCGGAAAAGCAAGACAAGTTTTCATTACTCTCAAGTCTGTGTGGAGGTCAACAGTACTCAACATGAAAAGGAAAATAAGAGCCGGATTTCCAACTCCCATATGAAGTCAGGGTTACTTACTATACGGATGGTTCAGAGACTTGGCCAGCGCGTCATGAAGAGCGCCTCAAACAAACTACACACCTTCATCAACAGCTGTCTTCGCCCAAAACTACTCAAGATCAGATGACCGGCCAGAACAGATCAGAAACAGGGAGGGATCTCTGGCGATGAACGAACCAACTCAGTCGGAACCGATTGTGCAACAAATCTGCAGGAAGAAATCGAGGTGGATTGGCTAGCCATACTCTGAGGAAACAAACCATCAAGTGACATCACTAGACAAGCCATTGCTCGAGTGGAACCAGGCCGAAAGGGAAGCGGTGAGTTGGTCGTGCAGGAGTGAGGGTGACTTGGCTGAGGTGATGTGAAGAGGAGATGAAAGCATGTGGGCAGACCTGGAACCACGTGAAAACGTTGTCAGAGAACCGAACGCAATGGAGACGTGCGTGGCTGAAGCCCTATGTTCCTCTAGGAATTAAAGGATATAATAATAATAATGATTTAAACCATAAGTGTACTTCTACTTGATGGAACTGAATGTATGTGAAGAATTTGGACACTTTGCTAGAATGTCATTCCATACAAGATGAGTTTATTTCAAATATCATACGGTGATGCAGTATCAACAGCTGGATGACAAGGTTTCGAGCATAAATTATTACTCATAATTATATCAGCCTTAGTCACGTGGTTTCATAATTTGTCTTATATATATATATATATATATATATATATTGATTATTTGGAGGGTTTCATCATGAGTTGACATCAGTTAGAGAACCACTGCAAAACCAGCTGGAAGTACTGGACAGTCGTTTCGTCCTAGTTTAGGGCTCCTCAGAGGTGTGCACCCACATCACAGTGGGGTTCGAACCCAGGACACTGTAGTTACAAGGCGAGCTCGTAGACCATTGGGCCACTGGGATCCGATCCAATGGTCCTTGAATTCTAACTTCTGCCAATTCACGACATAGCGCGACCATTTAGCAATGTCTTCTACGATGAGTTACTGGTCATAGCTTCTCTCTATTCTGTTTCTCCAACTTCCCTTTGTTGTTTGTTGCTACTTTGTATATCTCCAGTATAGGCGTAGCATCATTCCAATTGCACGTGTAAGGTGGTGAATCGCCAAACAGAGCTTCACTAATTAACATCTCTTTCTCTCTCCACTTAACTATGTGTTACTTTTTAATACTCTCACACTGTCCCGTCCACCCTATTTTGTAATCACTTGCTTGTAATATTAGATACGTTTATTTTAAATACCACACAGTGATGCAGTATTAACAGTACTTTTCACACATACAAGCTCAACAGTAGACGGAATCCAATTCACTTTTGAGTTGAAAAGCGAACAGAGTGAGTTAGCCATGCTAGACCAGACTGTAGAATAAAAAGAAAACATGATGGTGGGGTGGGGAGTTGGATGCTAGCATTTATAGGAAACCGACACACTCTAATAAATACTTAGACTTTAGTTCATCCCATCCAGAATGGGTAAAAATAGGTTCAGTTAAATGTCTGTATAGTTGGGCAAAGAACCTAACTAGTAAGTCGGGAGATTTTAATAAACAAATTAAAGATTTACAAGTGAACAACTACCCACCAGAATTTATTCAAAAATCTCGAAAAACCATGGAAAAACTAAGATCAGCAATAAAAATGACCAAAATAATATAGAATTCAAAGTGTTTGTAGTACCGCCGTATGAAAATGGAACGTCACAGGGCTTATGTAGGATTCTCAATGAAGCTAGCATTTAAACCAACCAAGCAACCAACCAACTCTTTCAGAGATAGACTTTGTCGGCTTAACGACCTAATAGATCCAATTAAGAAAATTAATATAATATACTAAATATCAGGAAATGACTGTGAGGTTGATTATATAGGTCAAACTAGTTTGTTATTATTATTGTGTGTGTCAGTGGCACAGTGGTTAGGACTCTCACCGACCATTAAAATGGTCCGGGGTTCGATCTGCTGCCGACGTACACCTGATATCCATGGTCGGTCTGTGAAACTCGGCTACTGCTATCACATACTGAAGATTCTACACCTGTACCGAAAATACGGTGTGGAATCAAGCTGTAATCAAAAATCAAAAAAATTATTCCTAGAGGAACATAGGGCTTCGGCGGCGCGTCAAACTAGTAGATTGGAGTTAATTATATTTTCGGAACGGTGAAATTTTTCCCCCATTTCATTTTAATTTCTACGCCTCATTACCACTATTGTTAACTTGACTCTAGTTCAGTTTTATATGTGTCCAAACCAAGTTCACTTTTAACAATTTGATCATCGTTCGTCAGTCTGGGATCATTTTTCGTTGTCAAGTTGGCCAGTTGGTATAGATAACAAAACCAAATGTAGATTGTTGGATTTGATCAGTGTGTAAAATTATAAAAGTAATGTGTGTTTACATAGTGAACTTGCTTATCACATTTGTATTGAATTTTGTCACATCATGAATTCTACTCAACCCCTTCAGTTATATTACGTCACTCAATTTATTTATTTGGTTTCATTTTAGTTCCTACCTGATTAACGCTTTCAACAATACATAATTGGCTATCTAAAATTTACATTCCTTATGTTGCTCAGATTGTACAGCTTGAGAACGATAACGCCGAAAAGAGCATAGCTCTTCTCTGAACGTCTTTTTTTTATATGACTCAAGTGAACATTTAAACAATACAGTTTTTTTGTTTTATTCCCTCACGTCTCCAGTGGAACATAAGACCCCTTCAAGTTACAGCTTTGAAGTTTCTGTAGCAGTGTTGTTCATTTTTACGGAATGGGGTTGCTAGCCAGCCTCATGCCTAGCCTTCCCTCTTTACCAGTCGTATTACTGGCTTAGCAATCGAGGTAAATGAGAAGTGCGTCTGTGGCCGGGGATAGAACCTCGGACCACATGACGCTTTGTTGGCGAGCATTTCTATCGCTGTGCCACCGACGCACAAACGATACAGCAATGGAAGTTTTGTTAATCACCATAATAATAATAATCTTCCTCATGACTTTTATGAACACTGATAGGGATGTGAGTTAATGAGAATCTGACTATCTGTCTCTTTATATGTCATTATTATCTGCTTATTCTTTGTTTTTTTTGTTTTTTTTTACAGTCCTATTGCTGGCTATATCAATTTTTGTCCTGATACATTGAGTCATGAATACAATGATAAAATGCGTTCTTTATTCGTTGCTACTCATGAAATTTTGCATGCATTGGTAAGTAATTATGTGTATATATGTGAATCTATTGATTTTTTTATCCCTTAAGTTACAAAAAGTACAGCAGATCACATGTGAGGACAGCTACTCGCTAGCGATGATATTCACTAGTCGTCACGCTGCATCGTGAATTGCCAGAAGTTGTATTTCATGAACTTTCCACTGTATCGGATCTCTCTGTGATCGAATGGTCTATAAGCTCGCCTCTTAACCGTTAGGTCCTGGATTCAAATCTCAGTGGTTGGGTACGTACTGTGAAAAGCCCCAAACTAGGATGATGAAACAACTGTCCAGTACTCCCTGAAGGTTTTCCAATGTTCCTCTAACTGATGTCAGCTCATGATGAAATACTCCAATCAGTCAAATATCTACAAACCAACATTTGAATACAAAAAGTATTGTTTTCATCACCTAGGTTGGATGTGTAAATACCAGTGGAGCATACAAAAGTATTCACATTTCAGAAGCTATACTATAGTTTGGTACATGTTCACAGTTGGTTATTACTATCAAAAAAGGCTCAACTTGCTGTGTCTGACAAAGTTCAGATGAATTGAGCAGCACAGTTTCAGGTGCGTATTATAGATCAATATTCTTCCACATAGAATTGTAGTACTACATGAGGTAATAAAATTAAATTAAAGGTCAAATTCAAAATTTGCAAATCGGATGGCAATTTGCAATCTACACAGTTGGAGAGATGAAATCTCACCGTAGTTTCCTTTGGAATTTAGAATTCATGGTTTATTGAATCGGGTACATTTGGTTAAATGGTTTTCAAGCTTTCCTTGTTACCTGAAAGTCCTGGGTTCGAAGCCTGGCGGTAGGTTCGCACTGCCGATGCGTCCCAAACTAGGACTGAATAGCTTTCTAGTACTTCGTTGCTGGTTTTCAACGGTCAAATTTAATAAACTTAAACAGAGCAAGAATGGCAAATGTACCAAGATAATGTGAGAAAGCTCATCTTTTGTTATTCTGAGGTTTCTCCTCAACTGACTGGCTACAACCAGAACAAAATAAAAAAGGTTAATGACATTAGAGATTTGGACATAATCTTTCCACAGTGACGACGGGTAGTTGGTAGGAACTAGAAGTAACATAGGTACGGAATAATGTTACTATTAGTTCCCACCAACTAGCCCTTGTCATTGTGGGAAGACGGTGACCGGATCTTTAATGTAATTAATCTTTTTTGTATTGTTCTTGCTGTAGCCAGTTGAGAAGAATCGTTGAAATAATAAAAGATGAGCTCACTCATGACTATCCTTATGTATTTGTCGTTCTTGCTTTATCCAACTGCAAGAACTTTTTCTATACCATATCAAAATTCATGTCGTTCCAGGTATTCTTTTTCTTCTTTAAATAGAAATGTTAAATATCGAATTTCTTCGTTAAATTTTCCATCTAACCTTGTTATTCAAGTGCTATCATTTTAATATATTGATATCAGTGAGACGACTATTGGAAACCAGCAGATTAGTGGACAACTGTTTCGATTGGGACTAATCATCAGTACTCACGCACCAGGGTTCGAACACCGGGTTCTCGGATTACAAGGCGAGCTCGTAGACCATTTAACCACAGGGATCCGATCTAATGACCACTCCATGAATTCCAACCTATTCTGACTCGTGATATGCATATCTCAACCGCCAGCCAATATTATAGATCAGTAATGTGCCCTCTTAGCATATTTGGTGAACTCTGCCGGCTAAGACTTCTCAATAGAACTCCAGGTAACTTCCTGTATAGAACTAGTCAATTTTCAGTACTCTCAGGTGTCCCAGAGCTGCATCATCCTAAAGATAATCAAACAAGCCCTGGATGAAAAGCTTCGACCGGAACAGGCTGGATTCAGGAGGAACAAGTCATGTATTGATCAAATCACCACACTACGGATCATCATTGAACTATCGCCGACCATGCACATGGTCCGGGGTTCGAACCCACGCCGACGCACACCTGATATCTATGGTCGGCCTGTGAAATTTGGGCCACCGATATCCATGCTGAAAATTCCATACTTGTACCAAAAATACAGTGTGGAATCAAGCTGTAATCAAAAATAAAATAAATAAAAAATAAACAGAGCTTCAAATGGCAGTCACCTCTCTATCTCAACTTCATCGACTTTGAAAAGGCCTTCGACAGACAGTGTCCATCGAGAGGTGATTTGGAAACTACTTCGCTACTACGGGGTGCCGCCGACAAGTATACTTCTCATCCAACATTTGTACGACAATGATGCATGCCAAGTATTCCACAACGGGAATCCTTCAAAGTAAAGACCGGAGTAAGGCAAGGCTTCTTACTATCGTCAATGATTTACCTGATTGAGATGGATTGGGTAACGCGACAGACAGTGGACAGCGGGGAATCAGGCATAAAATGGACCCTCAAGAAAAACTTGGAGGATCTGAACTTCAACTATGATATATGTCTGATTTCTCATAAACTGGAAGATATACAAGCAAGTTGTCACAAGAAGCATCAAAGATAGGAGGGACTTCAGGTGCACATAGAGAAAACAGAGGTGATGAAGATACCTAGCCAACAGCAGCAGCAACAACAACAGACAACAATCAGCCAGTGTAAATGGGAGAAATCTGAAAGAAACCACCTCCTTTACATACCCACCCACCTGGGAAGCATCGTTTCAACTACAGGCGAACAGAACTGACGAGGATATCAAAGCAGCGAGGATCGGAAAAGCAAGACAAGTTTTCATTACTCTCAAGTCTGTGTGGAGGTCAACAGCACTCACCGTGAAAATGAAAATAAGAGCCGGATTTCCAACTCCCATATGAAGTCAGTGCTACTTACTATACGGATGGTTCAGAGACTTGGCCAGCGCGTCATGAAGAGCGCCTCAAACAAACTACACATCTTCATCAACAGCTGTCTTCGCTCAATACTACTCAAGATCAGATGACCGGCCAGAAAAGATCAGAAACGGGGAGGGATCTCTGGCGATGAACGAACCAACCAGCCCAGCAAGAACCGATTGTGCAACAAATCTGCAGGAAGAGATGGAGGTGGATTGGCTGGCCATACTCTGAGGAAACAAGCCATCAAGTGACATCACTAGACAAGCCATTGCTCGAGTGGAACCAGGCCGGAAGGGAAGTGGCGAGTTGGTCGTCCAGGGGTGAGGGTGACTTGGCTGAGGTTATGTGAAGAGGAGATGAAAGCATGTGAGCAGACGTGAAGCCAGGTGAAAACGTTGTCAGAGAACCGAACGCAATGGAGACGTGCGTGGCTGAAGCCCTATGTTCCTCTAGGAATTAAAGGAAATAATAATAAATAATACAGTTGTCCTATTGGTTCTCTAACCTACATCAACTGGTGATCAAACCTATAACCGATGAAATCGTTGCGAACCAAAACTTGACAACGAATAACATAACAATCATAAAATTTCACAGTCTATTTACAGTCTTACTTTTAAGAGAATATTGTGTTTTGTAATTATCGATATATCCAAATAAACTGTATACTCAATCCATGATCAACTCGTAAAAGGAAATCTAATCCTTACAAACCAACTATAGAAAATTAATCTGATGCTTGCTAGTGACTTCCTACTTTCCTGGAGTGAGTTCTAGTGATAAGTCGTCACCATTTAGGTCCAAACAGATATCAAGTGTGAGGATTGATGTCCCACCGACGACACTGGTTGGGGTTGCACTAAATCACGAATTAGTGGGAGTTAAAATTCATGGGCTTGCCATTGGCAGAATGGTTTGCGAACCAGCTTGCCTTGTAACCGGAATGTCGTTGGGCTGGAACCCGGGTGGTGGGTGCGTACTGCCAATGATTCCCAAACTAGGACAAAAGAGTCATCAGGTACTCCCTGGTTTTCAATAGTTCCCTAACTAATATCAATCCGTGATCAACTTGTAACAGCAACAAATTACGATAACTTTTATAACACTTTTTTAGGGATTTTCTACAAGTCTATTTGCATTCTACCGTGACAAGCATAATCGACCATTGACACCACGTGACCCAACTACACTTAAACCTGCACTGGGCTGGTATCCTGGTAAAAATGGGTAAGTTTCAAACAGTTTTGTTTTAAGTGCTGGTTTCTGGATATTTGATTGATTGGCTACAGGATTTCATCATGAGCTGACATTGGTTACAGAATCATTGGAAAACCTGGGAGTACTGGACAGCTGTTTCGTTCTAGTTTAGGACCAGTAGGGTGCAGCAGGTCTTGTGGGAGGACAAATGCCCTCTGAAGACACTGGCTAGCAGTTGGGCTATGTCGTTAATTGGCAGAAGTTAGAATTCATGGGCCATTGGATTGGGTCCCAGTGGCTTAATGGTCTACGAGCCACCTAGCAAAGTAACCAAAAGGTCCTGGGTTTGAACGCCACTGTAGTGTGGAAGCGTACTGATGAAGAGTCCCGAACTAGTGCGACGAAACAGTCGCCCAGTACTTCCAGCTGGTTTTCCAGTGGTTCTCTAACTGATGTCAGCTCATGAGGAAATCCTTTAACCAGTTCTGTTTTAATTAATCTTTTCTTTCCTATTAAACTTTAGTAGACTGAAAACGACACTGAAAATTCTGTGGTATGTGTTGATTCTTTCATACACATCTCTTACAATAGATATCCTGCATTTACAACAAAATGAACTAAAAGATCAAATCGTATATCTGTCATTTCATCAGGTATCTTTCTTGACAATTTTAAGTATTAAACAATTCGAATTCTTATAGTTTAGTGAATAGTGACCAGTAGAATAATCCAGCATGCGAATCCCCCCTATTTGGGACTCGTCATCTGGGTGTACCTTCATTTCCCAATAAGTGGTGATGTTGCCACTGGGATTCAAAACCAGTAAGTATTATTCTAAATACCAAACCGTCATCCACTGGACTACTTAGGCTGCAAAAAGTCACGTTTTGTGCAACGGACTCGAACTGTTAGTTTTAATGCGCGTAAAAGTGATTTCTACTCCCACCGGGGAGTAATCAGTGTCATGTATCCACTGCTTCACATTGATACTGGCTGGTTTCCATCAGTCATGTTTACAAGATGGTGGTAGCCAAACGAGGTGTATTGCAACCACAGCGCAATTTCAACTAATATTAAGTAGTAGGAGGTAATCGTCAGAATACCAAGGGTCAAAGTTTCGTGCATCATTTTTTTCGTGGGTGCACATACTCCCTCGTTACTAACGGGACACAATAGACACAACATCCAAGTCCAAGGCATCCTGCCAACTACCTTCAATCAAAGATATGAAAGGTATGTTTGACAAGCAGGAAATATTAAATGACTACATTAATAGTAAATCGAAAAGTCTATTTCTTTCCTTAGCTCTAAATCAGATTTCAATCCAATATAGACAGATTTGACCAGAATACATCTTTGTGTAGAAATATGTTAGCAACGCTTACAGTGTATATAACAATGTAATTAGAAGATGAGCTAATTCCTCATCTTATGAAGCGTAGTGTACTCGCTATTTACTACTATTTAACGTTTGAGATGAGAGATTGTCTCTCCCGCTTAGATCAACCAGTGGTAGTGCTTGCTAGCCAGCCGAATCGAAGTGATTTAAACACCACGGGACTCCCGTTTCCATGGTTTGGGGCAGAACTCATAATGAAAATAGTAGCGAATGATAATAGCTTTATTTCAAAAAGTACTTCTGGTACAGTACAGTAGTACAGTATTGCATCTAATTTTCTCACCACATGGTGCAGCAATAATAGTTAAGCAGGGCATTTAAATTCATAATACTGTTAATTAACGGTATGAATATGAAATTATCCTTTGGCAGTTCAGTGGTAGAGTGCTCACCAACCATTCACATGGCCCGAGGTTTTATGCTTGGCCGACGCATTCCTATTCCTCACTAAGCCGGTAGTAAATCCTGAAACCAATCAATCAAATCTCTACAAACAGTACTTAAATATCAATGAGATGCTCACTGGCGACTGGTTCTATTCAGGTAGGTAGTTACCTGGGGTTCTGGTGGGAAGTCGTGACCAGTAGGGTGCAGCAAGTCGGGTGTGAGAACAAATGCTCGCCGAAGACAATGGCTAGCGGTTGCGCCATGTCATGAATTGGCAGGAGTTAGAATTCATGGGCCGGCCATTGGATCGGGTCCCATTGGCATAATGGTCTACGAGCTGCCTAGCCTTGTAGCCAGAAGGTCCTGGGTTCGAACTGAGGCGGTGGGTGTGCACTGCTGACGAGTCCCAAACTAGTGGAATAAAACATCTGTGCAGTACTCCCAGCTGGTTCTCCAATGGTTCTCTAAATGATGTCAGCTCATAATGAAATCCTGTAACCAATCAATCAAATCCCTACAAACCAAAACTTAAAAAAGGGAAATGTTGGGCTTGAGGCTAGCAAGCGCACCCCTCTAAAAATGAAACCACTGATACCTGAACTTCAAAGCTCTAGCTTAAAGCCCTATGTCCCAATGGGAAAGTTAAGGAATAAAATAAATGATTGTAAGATTAAACTTTAAAATATTAACAACAATGAAAGAATAGTGAAAGAAAGAGTAAAAATAATAGGCTGCTTACTTAGCCTTTCTCATTGAGTTAGTAAGGTGTCATGCTGAACACTTCTGTCATGACATAAAATGTGCGACAAATAAGGTACTGTGGAGTTCTCATACTCAGTGTTCCAAGCATAAAGACTTTTATAGTTGCTTCTAATCCTCCTACCTGATGAAATGCACACAAGAAGAGAGAGTTGTGTGTACAGAGATGATGCTCATAGTCCGATGAGATAATATTCTCTAATTTCTTGTATGACTCCATGTGTCTATCAACAACAGTATTGACAAGTTGATTTGGCGGTACCCCACTCGCCTTAGTGGCAGCTTTTAGTATCCTTCTCAGTGTGACAAAGTCTTTTTTAAGTAGCCTAGATAAGATTAAAGTAGTCAGTGCAATAAAGAAGAATAAGTAGAATACATGAGTTAACAAACTGCAGAAGTAGAGACTGAGTACTACCAAACTGTCTTAACTTCTTTTCGTAGAAGGTCAGACAAAATATCTTCCAAGAAATTAATACTATGTGGGAATATCAAGAAGGGATTAAATGAGTATCTCCGCCTGTCACAAACAATGCCCGGGTCCGATTCCCGGTCGAGGAGCTGACTTTTCGCGTCGGTGGCACAGCGGTTATGACTCTCACCGATCATGCAGATGGTTAAGGGTCCAATCCCCTGCCAACGCACACTTGATATCTATCGTCGGCCTGCAAAATTTGAGCTACCGATATCACATGCTGAAAATTCCATACCTGTACCAGAAATACGGTATGGAATTAAGCTGTAATCAAAAATAAATAAATAAAAAGATATAATCCAACTTACTTAACATTCGACTCAATATGTCATCTGTCACAGTAGAATCAAGAGAACAAACCACTTCATGTGTAAGTCACGCCTGTGTTTGAAAATGAACCTAAAATTCTGATACTTGGAGACATATAGCTTAAGATCATATGATAAGGACCACCGGCTACTTAATTTCTGATAAAGAAAGAGCTATTCATTTTGGAACAATCTAACTGAGAATTAACCGGTATGCAAATAACCAAATCATCAGCATACATAACGAAGCCATCTTAAGAGTAAAGAAAGCAGAAAAGGCGAAACAACAACATTTTGATGAATACCAACCTAGAGTGAGTAAATCATTGAGTGACTTCACATTACCAGTGTACCTCCCCCCCATCTGACTCAGTTCACAGAGTCAAATGAGTTCAAATGACACCCGATATCAACAGACTAACTATCAGTCTGTGATGGTTAATCGAAATTCTTACATACCTTCCTTTTTCTTCCAATTACCTCATGCTAATTAACTAATTCCTCCTTTACCTACTTGGGAAGCATCGTTTCAACTACAGACAGACAGGACTGACGAGGATATCAAAGCAGCGAGGATCGGAAAAGCAAGACAAGTTTTCATTACTCTCAAGTCTGTGTGGAGGTCAACAGTACTCAACATGAAAATGAAAATAAGAGCCGGATTTCCAACTCCAATATGAAGTCAGTGCTACTTACTATACGGATGGTTCAGAGACTTGGCCAGCGCGTCATGAAGAGCGCCTCAAACAAACTACACACCTTCATCAACAGCTGTCCTCGCCCAAAACTACTCAAGATCAGATGGCCGACCAGAAAAGATCAGAAACAGGGAGGGATCTCTGGCGATGAACGAACCAACCAGCCCAGCTAGAACCGATTGTGCAACAAATCTGCAGGAAGAAATGGAGGTGGATTGGCCATACTCTGAGAAAACAAACCATCAAGTGACATCACTAGACAAGCCATTGCTCGAGTGGAACCAGGCCGAAAGGGAAGCGGCGAGTTGGTCGTCCAAGGGTGAGGGTGACTTGGCTGAGGTCATGTGAAGAGGAGATGAAAGCATGTGGGCAGACGTGAAGCCAGGTGAAAACGTTGTCAGAGAACCGAACGCAATGGAGACGTGCGTGGCTGAAGCCCTATGTTCCTCTAGGAATTTAAAGAAATAATAATGATTAACTAATTCAACTACAATTGATGGTGGCTTCTATGTTTCTCAAATGTTTCTCAAATCGCATTTAATCAGTTGGCGATCAGTGTCTGTAAGTATGGTATGTGCTTTGCGCCGTCTAAGTGCAAAGTACTGTTACAAGATTGGCAGGAGCCTGTACCTGCACTCACTGTCGCGGGTGAACCGCTTGAAGTTGTTGATAAGTTTGTGTACCTGGGTAGTTGTGTGAGTGCTGGTGGAGGGGTGACGGATGAGATTTCCAACCGTATAATGAAGGCTAGGGTGGCATACATCAACTTGAGCCACCTATGGCGCCGTCGCGAAGTTAGCCAGGCTGTCAAAGGTCGGGTATACAATGCTTCGGTGCGGGCTGCGCTGCTCTACGCCTGTGAAACCTGGCCTCTCCGAGCTGAGGATGTGCGGCGGCGACTCTGCGTGTTCGATCACCGCTGTCTCCGCAGGATTGCTTGCGTTCGATGGATGGCATCATCGCGTGAGTAATTCTGAGGTTCGGCGGCGTGTGTTTGAACAAAGTGG